TCTTCTCCTCTTTAACAAAGTGGTACTCATGGAGGTGACACATGAAGAAGGAACACTGACCTAATAACAGAGGAAATACTGCAGTGATGGAGCAGACAGCATTAAATCAACATCATGAGTACACACCTACTACTTACTCCACGCCTCTTTATTCACTTAGATTTCTGAGTTTCTGGATGATTTGCTCTTTATTTCATGATAAGAATGAGCTTTAAGTGAAATCATTTCATGGCAGCAGCAGCAGCAGCACTGCTGTATATGTGATAAGATGATCCACTTACCCATCAGAAGGAGCAGAAACAGACTCCACTGCATCTTTGCTCTGTTAGATGAAATTGATATTTCAGTGTGCTGTGAACCAAACACAATGGATTTAACAGCTTGTCTTCATATTCAAATAAATAAAGAAATATATTTGAACACTTACAAGTCCCACTGCCGAAGTCTACTGAGACAGAATACAAGTATTATTATTGTTATTATACAGTTATTAATGGTTGGATGTTTATAACGTTCTGGGCGCCAACACTCATGTTTTTAAACTTGGGTTTCACAAGAAAGCAGGTAGAAAGCACTTTTCAAGGTTCTCTGTCTGGGTTACTGAGAAGCAGTGATGGCCAAATGAAGCCTCGTGAACCATTTTCTTTATTTTCTGACCCCACCAGATGGCACTCTTGGTTTAAAGATAAAGGCTGAAGGACTTGCAATGAAGTGTGCTTTCAAACCTTTGTTGAACAGACAGCGCCATCTGGTGGCTTCAGAAAATAAAGACAGTGGTTCCTGAGGCTTCATTCAGCCATCACTACTGAGAAGGATGCTAAATACATTTTTAAGTGTTTTAATGTATTTCCCTGTCTGTAAGCCACGCGATACCTTAAAGAATAGGTTCTCAGTTTTCCCCCTAATACTTACATGCACATCATACTAACATTTCTGTCTTAACATTTCTTTGGATTATTTTACAATGTATTAAGAATTACAAATTCTGTCATAATTATTTGAACAAAAAGGATGGACATGTCATGTTTTATTTAATTAATTATTTTATTACCCCCTTTCTGTCCCTTTAAACTCTCTTTATTCTGTATTCAATGCTCAAGGTTGCTTTCCCTTCATCTTGGATTGGTATTATCTTCAATCGATTACTACCTAAGTTTTTTTTTCTTTTCTGAAGCCTTATTTGGTCCATTGCGTAAGCATGACACAGCCCTGAGTGAGCTTGCCAAAGTTAAGAAAGATATGCTTGGTCATATTTTTATGGGCTATATGTGTGATCAATACTAGAAACACTGCATTGAAATTAAAAGAAAATTCTACAGCAGTTAGTTTTGACCACGTAATTTGGTCAAAACTAACTGGAGGCATTCCTATGAGCTGATAAGAGAACATGCAAACATGTTTCCGCAAATAGCGTTTGAGTTAACCCCTTCAGATCCTTCGTCCACTCCAATGGACATAGCTTTTCTAGGAGGTCCATAATTACTGTCATCCGACTCCACCCAAGTGCACAGACTTATTTTATTGGATGTCCATAAGCCAATCACAGAGTCCCACAACATCAGGGACATCAACAGACATGGCTGAGCATGAGGCAAAAAGGGAGCGCAAGGCACATTTTAGTCTATTTCTGATACTGTTAAAGTACATGAATTGTGTTTAAACTGTGTTTGACGTGAACACAAGACGTTATTTTACTTATACGTGTCAAAATGTCATATAACCCTAACCCTAACCTTAGGGAAAGTCCAGTTCAGATTTGATTTTCTAAAGCAAAAGACTAAATCAGCAGATAAAATGCAGAGTTGAGACCTAATTTGATCACTGAGACACATTTCTGAAATTGTGCCAGCTCATTTATAAGCCAATCAAGTACTTTGGGTATCCTAGTGTTATCCCAAGAGTTAATTATTTCAGACAAATACAGATTACTGCTGTGAGAACTAAAAAAAAGAGCATTTGTAGGATCTGGCTGAATTTACAAAGTATGAGAGAATGGTCAAAATCTCTCAGTGCTGTTATTTTGAGCTTGGTGGTGTCTAGGAGAAACAGACCGGACAAAGAAGAGATCGTATTTTGAATCTTCCTTTCCTCTGGGTGGCCTGGTCGTGCTGTTGTATTGAATATCAGCACGGCTTTGATAATCTTCAACACATGGCCTGCAGCCTCATTCCTATGACTGCATCACAGCCGCGCTGATATTCAGCAGTCTTGAGTGTGAGAGTGCTTAAACACAAAGCAGATTTAAGATCTATTTAAAAGATATCAGCCCAGACGCAATGAGCTCATTTTTATCGCAAATTTAAAAAAAAATGTTCAGCTAGTTAAAACATTCCTCAGTCACAACAAATGTCAAGTTAGTATCCAAAAATATTTTAAGATGCAAACAGTTTCCTTAGATAAATTACATTTTACATGCAGTGGAGCTGAATATAAGAGCTAAATATACTGTCCATCTCTGTATACACACATTAAATCTCAAAGTCTGAACTTACATCTTCCGATTCGTGCTCTCCCCGGCTTCACTCTGCTCCGATGTCTCTCCCCTCTGTGCTGATGAGGACTGCTCACAGTGCTATATTAATCCTGTTCATTCGCTCTCATGGCACACTGATGTCAACATTTGAATAACAAAACAACGAGATGTCAGATCTTTATCATACCCAGTACACCTTCCACTGTTGACAAGAGTACACTGTCATCCCTTAGGATAATTTTAATATTATGGAAATCAACCACATCATAATAAGAAACATCCAGTGTTGAAGATTCAGGTGGATTTAGTGGCGTCTTTCAGAGTGCAACCAGTGGCTTCTACTGGTTAGGATTCCTCCAGTGTTCATTGTTCAGGAGGTTTTTAGTGTGAGCCAAATTATCCGCAGAGGTCTCTTCCTCTCCAAAACAAACAGACCCGGTGACCTAAACCAGTAAAAAGACTGAATAAAGCTGTTTCACGTCACAAATCAGTGTTATTCTGACAGTGTTTGGCATGTCGGAGATGGGCCGCTAGCCCAGCACCTGCTAATGAGTGCTCACCTTTATTCTCGAATAACTTCAGATCCAGACATTCAGGAGTTTTTTACCGGTAGCTGAATCATTCTCTTCCTCTCCAAAACAGGTGGACCTGGTGACTGACAAGAGGTATTCTTCTGCTTTGTTTAGTGTAAAAAAAAAAAAATTAAATAAAGCAGTCTCAAGTTAAAAAAAATCTGCCTTTTTCCGACACTCTCATAGCAGAGAGGCTGCAACTATGTTGGCCGACGCCAAAATGCGAAAACGCTAGGGCTGGGTATTAAAGTTTGATACTATTTTGGCACCAGTTGAAATGTCTTAATAACATCGAGTATCAAAAGACGTCTTGTTGTTCAGTAGGCTACCGAATTTCAAAACCTAAGGGGTCAATCTCATCAATGTCAGTCAGCCAGTAAGCATGTAGTATGCATGATGTGCCAGTATCTACAAGTGCTCGTGATTGGCTGTGTCAAGGTATCCAGGAAAAAGACTAGGTTATGGCAAATGTTACGCCCACGTGTATGCATTGTATTTTTAGAGGCTATCGTGTAACTACGTTAAGTGTAAAAGATGTTGAGAAGATCAAAAGTGTGGCTACATTTCACCAACAGCGCGCAATGCAGTAATTGCGAGTCGGTAATTGCTGCGAAGACCGGCAATATGATAAATCTCATGAAGCACTTGACAGTGCACCGATTAAACTTAAGAGCAGGAAGTTGCTCCGTGTACGACTGCAAGAAGACTGGGCTGGAGCAGTCCTCCTCTCAGCGTCCTCCTGCCACAGCAACATATTCGCACGCCGACCTCGTCACATATTGACGTTTTGGTCATTGACTTTCCATGTCCACATACGATGTACAAGGTACCCTTGGTGTGTTGGTTGTTGACGTTCTGGGACACCGTGTCAAGTTCTCTTCTTTCAAGATACACTCTATTTTAATGTTTACATACAGTCTCTTTCAAAATAAACTCACTATGTCAGTACACTGCGAAACTGACGTTTTTTTTTCCTTCAATAACAAACACAGATGGTTGGGTTTAGGCAACAAAAAGAAGTGGTTAGGTTTAGGAAAAAGAAAAGGGTTTGGCTTTAGAATCTTACAGGACACCAACACCGCTCTCTTGGGTGAAAGTCGGTGTTTGTTGGACGCATCCACCACCCCCATCCCACACGGACTTTCGCCGCCTTAACTTTCGTCCTTGTCCTGCCGCGTTAACCCCTGACGTTAAACTATAATGCCAACTTGCAGTATATCATGCCAACATTAAGTAACACTTACTTTTCTTTGTTTAGGTTAAAATGCTATCAATACGCTGATGGCACACTAAAATGTAAGTGAATTCCACCAGAGATAAAAACTCATCATTATACAATTCTCATATGGTTTTAAGAAAACTCCGACCAATCATTGCATTCGGACCTAATACAATGATTTGTCGGAGTTTTTTCCTGTCCTGTCTGTCTTCCCCATGTCGAGGCCTCCAACTGACGTAACCACTCGCGTAACATCCCCCCCCAAGTTTCTAACAGACATTAGAAACCACTGCAGAGATCTAACGGTACAACTGAGAGAGCTCAGGATGTATAGCAAGCTTAGCCTGCTAAGTCGAGCTAGCCCTGAGATGAGCATGGTTTTGTCTGGAGCTGTCCTGACGGGGAGACGGCGGCAGCGCTGTAACAGGACGCAGGACCGGGGGAAGCGCAGGGGGGTTAGCTCTAGGCTCAGAGCTAACCTAGGCTAGAGCTAACCCCATCAGACCAGCTGTTCCCAGCAGCCTTCTGGCGAACGTCCGCTCGCTGGTCACGAAAATGGATTACATCCGACTGTGGAGATCCACTCACCTAGGAGTGAGGGACTGCTGCATCCTTGTGTTCACTGAGACATGGATGAATGGTAACATATCAGACTCTGGTGTTGAGCTAACGGGGCTAACACTACACAGAGCAGACAGAACAGCTGCATCATCTGCTAAGCTCTGTGGTGTATACACAAACAATTCATGGTGCTGTGATGTGAAGAGGATCTCCCAGTTCTGCTCTCAGGATGTGGAGATTTTGACTGTGAAATGTCGACCCTTTTTATCTTACTATTGCACTATATGTTCTTTCTTATATGTTGCGCAAATATGTTTTGTTTCTGTTTGCTTGGGGTATGCAAAATGTCATTTCGGTTTTATGCTGCTCATAAAAATGACAAATGAAGAAGTTCAGTTCAGTTCATAACATTATATATGACAACATAGCATCCAGTTGCTAATGGCTAATGTTAGCCTACTGTAGCGTAGCCTCTGAAACATCAACGTTATCTTCCTTGTGTGTTTCCACTTACTAATAACGTTAACATTAACGTTAGCACTGTACCCTTTACCCTAAAACTCATCAGTCATCACTGACTCCGGTTGAGTTTTAAAACTCCAGGGTTGCGCTTGACTGTCTTGGTCGTAACGTTACACTTGCTCTCCTCTTCCGTATATCTAATGTTACCTTGCCAATGCCTACGTCTATCATAGACGTAATGAGGACATAATGGAGGAGGGGGGATGGGACTTTGGAGGGAGGCGGGAGTTGTGGGTGTTCAAATTTTGTGAAATGCAAGAAAGGTAAGAGTTGCTTGAAAGGACGCTTATTTTTTTGTTGGTTTCTGATGCTGCAAGTCACTGCTCAAGCACTGGATTTCGACGACTCTGTACAGTGAGACCAGGTTCACCACAGGGCCTCCTGCGTCAACGCAAATGGCCCTATCTAGAGCCAGTGTTTAGTGTGTCTGTTCTGGGCTACTTTAACAACACAGTGGTGCAACATCTCCATGAACAAACACCTGCTCCCTATATAGATAAAAACGGCTCATTGTCACAATGACTCTATTTTCAGCTGACTATACACTAAAGAAAACATACTTATATTCTATTTCTGCCATTATATCCCCCTATATCATACACACTGCACCTTTAAGCAGGTAAAATGTACATTATCCAAAATACAGCCTGTACAAATGGTGCAGATTAATGAAGTTTAAAAGAAAATCGAGACACTTAAAGGGTAAATATTGATTTTCCTTCATGTGACTCAATGGCTCAAAGATAATTGTACACTGTTAATTAGGACTACTGTCATGTCAGCAATGATTTGCCCTTATTTATTTAATTTTATAAGGATTCAAATTTCAGACACAGCTGAGACATCTCATGACCTACATTAAGAAGAACTAACTCACAGGCTATATGAACAGTCACGACATTTCGCAGTGAAACAGTCATGCAACTATAAAACAAAACAAAACCATGTATTGGTTGTATTAGTTAACTACTATCAAAGCAAAATTCCTGCATGTTTAGGCTTTGCACCCAGCAGGAACAATTATCAAGTGCAATGTCACATGTAAAAATGGCTCGGTAACTACATTGCTAACATTACATTAAAGTACAAGTTATCATTACACTTCTGTGTTACATTTCTCCAAGTCATTTTTGCAGTAAATGCTGAACATTATCTTCTTTTTAAAATGATTACACATACAGGGAATATTGAATGAAACGAATATTTCGAAGAGATAAACTAGGTCTATGTCCGAAATCACTCCCTCACACACCCATTCACTACTTCCTGGATAGTAGACACACAAGATTTGGGGCACTTATTAATAATCTTTTTTCTATTATCAATGATAATGATGTGATTTGTTGCACAACTGTTCATTTATGCATCTATAAAATGTGAGTTGTTGCATTGTAGGACTGTTAGAAGAAAGCAGTGCATGTTATGGATACTACTTAACGTTTTATTGTGTGAACTTTTGAGAGCAATGTATAGCATAAATGGCATACTCATAACTAGGACACTCAAACAACATGACTGACATTTATTACTAATTAACCTGTATTATTTAGTAATTATATTTATAAGCATCTCAGTTCTATTAAATAATAATTGTACAAAAACAATCACGTTTTGAGATGTTCGTTTCACAAAATAAAGAGGATCAAGACAAGACCCCTGCGGGACACCTACACTAACCTTAAAAGGAGAAGTCCCGTATTTTCCACTTTGAGCCTCATTTCTGGGTTGTTTATGATGAAATAGAGTGGTTAAGACCAAAATTTTGACGACTGCTCCTTTTCAGAGAATTTGGCTTTCCCCTGCCTGGCTTAATAATGCTGTCTATGGCCATGTGTAAATCTGTCCTAAAACCACCCTAAACGATCGTTTTTAAAGCCATTAAACTCACCGAGTGTGTTAGTTGATCGTAGCAAACTGTGGTTTCCATCCGTGTTTTCGCTATTCATCTCGATTGTGGAACTATTTTTTCAGCTGCCTCACACCCGTGTGTAAACTTCCGCTTGATCGTTCATTTGACCCTGAAGCGTTATACACTCCAGCCCACTTGATGGCCATAATGCTCCTTTACGTGGGTGTCGCCAACCGGCAGGAAACTGTCTCGTCTCGTCTCGTCTCGTCTCGTCTCGTCTCGTCGTCTTCCGCTTATCCGGGTCCGGGTCGCGAGGGCAGCAGCCTCAGCAAAGAAGCCCAGACAGTCCTCTCCCCAGCCACCTCCGTCAGCTCTTCCTAGGGAACCCCGAGGCGTTCCCAGGCCAGCCGGGCGATTTAATCCCTCCAGCGTGTCCTGGGGCGGCCCCGAGGTCTCCTCCCGGTTGGACATGCCCGAAATACCTCCCAAGGGAGGCGTCCGGAAGGCATCCGTACCAGATGCCCGAACCACCTCAACTGGCTCCTCTCGATGTGGAGGAGCAGCGGCTCTACTCCAAATCCTTCCCGGATGTCCGAGCTCCTCATCCTATCTCTAAGGCTGAGCCCAGACACCCTGTGGAGGAAACTCATTTCGGCCTCTTGTACTCGCAATCTCGTTCTTTCGGTCACTACCCAGAGCTCATGACCATAGGTGAGGGTTGGAACATAGATCGACCGGTAAATCGAGAGCTTCGCTTTCTGGCTAAGCTCCCTTTTCACCACAACGGACCGGTTAAGCGTCCGCATCACTGCTGACGCCGCCCCAATCCGCCTGTTAATCTCCTGCTCCATCCTACCCTTACTTGTGAACAAGATCCTTAGTTACTTTAACTCCTCCACCTGAGGCAGGACCTCCCCCCCGACCTGGAGTGGGCAATCCACCCTTTTCCGGCTGAGGACCATGGCCTCAGACTTGGAGGTGCTGATTCTCATCCCAGCCGCTTCACACTCGGCTGCGAACCGTCCCAGCGAGAGCTGGAGGTCACTGTTCGATGGAGCTAGGAGGACCACGTCATCCGCAAATAGCAGGGACGAGGTCCTCCTGTCACCAAACCTGACACCCTCCACCCCTCGGCTGCGCCTAGAAATTCTGTCTGTGAAAGTTATGAACAGAACTGGTGACAAAGGGCAGCCCTGGCGGAGTCCAACCCTCACCGGGAACAGATCCGACTTACTGCAAGCCACGCGAACCAGACTCGTGCTCCTTCGGTACAGGGACTGGATGGCCCTTAGCAAAGGGCCACCAACCCCATACTCCTGGAGTACCCCCAACAGGATGCCCCTGGGGACACGGTTGTAAGCCTTCTCCAAATCCACAAAACACATGTTGACTGGTTGAGCGAACTCCCATGCCCCCTCCAGCACCCTGGCGAGGGTAAAGAGCTGGTCCACGGTCCGGCAGGAAACCATTGCAATGTAATGGGACACAGAGAAGAAGCAGAAGAAGAAGGCTGGCGTTGTGTTCAGAGGCATCATACTGCGAAGGTTGTTTACACGCGAGTAATGCATTGTGCAGTTGTTTAAACTTATTAAAAAATGTTTTCTTTTGTTCTCGTTCTTCTTCCAGGAGCGCACACAGCACTGTCGAGCTGGCACTTTCGCTGAGCTAAAAGACTACAATGACTACAACCTTGTCGTAAACAACCGCCTTTCCATTTCCAGAGGCAGATTATTACCAATGGACAATGAGGCTTCCTATAGAAAGCCAATGGGTTACACAAAATGTCAAATAAATCATCACGGAAACCACAGTTTGCTATGATTTTTATGTCAGGACATCAATGAACACCACTGACCACTCGGTGAGTTTCATGGTTTTGAAAACGAACGTTTAGGGTAGTTTTAGGACAGATTCACACATGGCCATAAGCAGCATTGTTAAGCCAGGTAGGGGAAAGCCACATCAACGGAGCAATCATCAAAATTTTGGTCTTAACCACTCTATTTCATTATAAACAACCCAGAAATGGGGCTCAAAGTGCAAAATACGGGACTTCTCCTTTAAGAGCACTTGCTTTGGAACTATTAGAATTAGTGCCAGACTTCTCCCAGAAACAGATCAACTTGTTCTCATTCCCAGGTCATCAGATACCAATGCCTCCTCATAATGATGCACACCATTAAGGATCTCTATGTGACACACAGCTGAAACACATTAGCCACTTTATACTCCCTGTTCAAGGTGGGAATATTGTGCTGGAACGCCGCCTTGCCATTCTGTAAAAAAGGTACAATCATGGAAAGGGGAGACCAAGTTAAGCCTTTAAGCTGACAGTGGAGGTAGTAACAGCACTGGAGTGATGTCTGTGTGAAAGGGACAGCCGGCAGGACGGGACCATGGGCAGGACAAGTGTGATGTTTTGACAATGTGTTATGTCTGCGACCAACCACTGGGAGTTTTAAAAAGCAACTCGCAGCAGTTGGCAGCTAACTCAAAGAATAACAGTTGCCAAAAATGTCCGCAAAGTGGGAAAACAATGATGCCCAGGAGCTTCTTAAGCGGGATTTATACTTCTCTGTCGAATCAACACTGTGCCTGTGGCGTAGGCTCTGTGTTGATGTAGAGGCTACGCCGTACCCTACGCCATAGCCTCATATGCACCTCCCAAGAAATGTAACTACACGTCGCGGTGACGCAGCCCTCCTGTCTATTTTTGTAAGCTGAAACCATTTCCCTCAGTGGAAACAAAGCTTTTATTTACTTTAATTTCACAAATAAGAAACAATAAATTTGGTGCCGATATCAAACGCCATAGGGCATGACAAAGAGTTGGTATTTGACAACCTGCGGATGAGAATGGGCTGGAAAGACAGTGATTAAATCCGTTAAATGAACTGTTCATTTAGTTCTGACAAGGAGAGAATTTCTGGGAAAATATCACATGTATGCACACAATTTAGTAAATTGGGAGTGATTGCAGACACATCCTGTGTTTGTGTTTCTTTTATATTTTTACGTTTCTTTCATTAATTTCTGATTTTCATTTAATTTTCTTAGATCATTTCATATGGTCAGTTTTCAGTTTTCCTTAACGGCACTATAATGCATACATATGTATATTTACAGTACATATATATATAAACATAGACAGGTGAAAGATAAAAATAAAAACCTGAATAAAGGACTAGAAAAGCATAACAAATGTAGATACTCCCACACAAATGTATTAAATGATGCTATTAAGCTATGGCTAATATGCTAAGGCCTTCTCCACTCAACTGACAATTTAAGGGGGACTGGGAAGCTGTCCTGGAGGCTCACGGAGGGTCAACACCTTCTGAAGTCACCTCATGTTGGTTTTAGGTGCAGTCAGATTTGCAGTGCCTGCAGCTGCTGATGGACACATACTGGCTGTTGCAAGGCTGGAACCTGTGAACAGCCCAGGACAACACAGTCTGTGTACTTCACTACTTGGATGAAACTTATTCTTTTTGGGTCTGGGTGCGCTTGTATCACTTTTTGTTCCAGGTTGTAGATCCATCCAGGTCTCGTCAGCGGGGTCCTTGCACAAACATTTTTTAACTCATTAGGTTTGTGTGGCTTTATATTAAGTGTCTCAAAATAGGATCCAGGATTCACTGGCAGTAGAAAGTGAGCACATTCTGCTGGTTTCCTCGTATCAGCACCGCAGGGCAGTGGAGGCCACAGGTCAGAGTGTCTAGCCAGGCCATGTACAGAGCGCTGGGGCAGTCGCTGTGTGGCACAGGAAGGCTCCTGGAAAAACATTTACATGTACATGACAAGTCTGCATGACAAGCACAAAAACTGCTCTTACATGACTTACGAGGAAAAAGTCAAATGAGTGCATGCTGTGGTTTGTAGCGAATACAAAGAGACCATATCTGTGTATTGTTTTGCATCCCTGTGGACATCATTTTCATCTCCTGAAGCTGAGAGAGAGGCCTGTATTCATGCCTGCTGTGTCAATTAAAGGTCACATTGTGTCATTTTTGTTTGAGGTAATTTTGCATTATTGAAGTCATTTTATGTGTCTTTGAGGTCAGTTTGTGTCTTTTTGTAGTCAGTTTGGGTCTCCTTGTGGTTGTTTTGTGTTTCTTTGGAGATCATTTTGTTTCTCATTGAGGTAATTTAGTGTTTTTTTTTTTGTCATTTTGTGTCTCTCTGTATTAATGTGGTGTCTTTTTAGGTCATTTTGTGTCTCTTTGAGGTCATTTAATGTCTGTTTTTGGTCAAGTTGTGTTTGTCTGTATTCGTTTTGTGTCTCACTGAGGAAATTTTATGTCTTTTTGGGTCATTGTTTGTCTCTCTGTAGTCAGTTTGTGTCTCCCTGTGGTTGTTTTGTGTCACTTTGAGGTCATTTAATATCTTCTTTTGGTCATTTTGTGTCTCTCTGAATCCATTTTGTATCTGTTTGAGATCATTTTGTTTCTATTCAAGGTTATATCGTGTCACCTTGAGGTAAATTCATATCTTCTCTCTCGTATCGTCTCTTTGAGGTCATTCTGTGCCTAATTTAGGTCAGTTTGTCTCCTTGTGGTTATTTCAAGTCTCTTCCTCAGTATGTCTTAATTTCATTGACATTTTACAGGTGAAGGTCAGAGAGCGTCCTGAAACTTTGGGCCCCGGGGCCTGTGCCTAGTGATGGCCAAATGAAGCCTCATGAACCACTTTCTTTATTTTCTGACCCCACCAGATGGCGCTCTTGGTTTAAAGATAAAGGCTGAAGGACTTGCATTGAAGTGTGCTTTCAAACCTTTGTTGAACAGACAGCGCCATCTGGTGGCTACAGAAAATAAAGACAGTGGTTCATGAGGCCTCATTTGGCCATCACTACCTGGGCCCACAGCCTGGCAGGCCCATTCAGTAATGCATCCTTGCAAATACTATATGCTATTCAGGGGCGGGCTGGCCATAGGGAGGTTTGGGAGTATTCCCTAACAGCCGGTCTGTTCCAGGCCGAACCGGCCGGTGGTCAGAACGTTTTTTTACCACATAAAATGCAGCCGTGGTTGAGCGCAGCAGCCTGCCCTCGCAGCTGCAGGTGGCAGTGGCATAGAGTGGAACATCAGACTGGGTCAATCTAATATTTTGCATATAAAGGGGGGATAAAAAATATGCAAATGACTCGGGCCGGGTCGGGCCTCGGGCCTCCTTTTTTTCGGGCAGACAATTAGGCTAATGCTGGTGTGTCGGCTGCGTCGGGTCTGGGCTTAAACACCCGCAGGGTCGGGTTGTAATTTTCAGGTCCATTGAGACCTCTAGTTTGTGTTTTTGGATGTGTTCAGGGCACACAGAACATTAAAGGTAGCCTATCAGCAATGTTACACCATACGTGCATAAATCATTAATCTGCTTTATCAATTAAAAATAAAATCCATACTGGCTGACCAGAAAAACGCACAAATTTCTTTATTGCAAAAGAAAACATAGCCTATTTCAGGAGAGAGTCTGTGTTCAAAGTTAAAAAGATAATATTTGAATATATAGGCTATACAGCTGTGTTCTGTTTCTACATTAATATATAGCCATTTTTACCAGCTCAAGAAAAATACATTAAAGTGAGTAATTCATTTACAGTGTGTGTGTGTGTGTGTGTGTGTGTGTGTGGCGCTTTTGTTATGTTGATTTTTATATTGTATTTGTGTTCTAACACTGTGAATTCTTTGCTATAACGTTTATCATTGTTGCTGTTATTGTTATTATTAGCTGACGAGGCCAGTGTCAGTCGCGGAGTTGATGCAGAGGGACAGGATAATGCCAGTCATAGGAGTGAGGAGGAGGAAGAGACAGATGAGGAGGGACAGGAGAAGGAGGAGGAGGAGATGGAAGAGGAGGTGGAGGAGAAGAAGGAGGAAGAGGAGGAGGAGAAGGAGGAAGAAGAGGAGGAGAAGAAGGAGGAAAGTGGAGCAGGAACCACCAAAAAAACAGTGCCAGGTACAGGACCGGGTTGGCAATAGGTCTTTGCATAGAATTATATTATATTCTGTATATATATTATTATATATGTATATACACTCTACTGTGTGGGTTGTGTTTAATAATATTAGATTGTTTTTATACTGCAAATAAAGTGAAATTACGGTTCCACTTGTGTCTGTCGTGCGATCGGAAAAAAGGCCTCTCCAAATCAAGCTCCCGGGCTGAATTTCAACCCCAGCCCACCCCTGGTGCTATTAACCCCTCCGTGTGCTTGGTTGTGTGTGTATGTGGATGAGAAGGACCTCTTGTGGTTGCAGTGATTCACAGCTTTTGAAAAAAACTGTTTTACTGACCGTTTTATACCGTCATTGACTGCTGACTCCTCACGCCCCTTAACTTGCCACAAGAGGCCATAAGTTTTCTGGAAACATACCATCTGTGGCGGCCACATTTTTGCCCTGTCTTATAAACTGACATCCATAGAAACGTTTGGTGTCATTTTGAACTGGAGCATGCGCAGATTAATTCATTACCAGATTATGATCCTCTAAAGTTTTAATTACTTCTCTTAAAAACGAAGAAGGGGAGCATCCCCCTGATGAGGAGGTTCAGGATCTCAATGGAAAACTGCAACATGTGTATTAAATCTGCCCAGTGTGCAGTAAATCTAATGAGCCTTGATAATTTCATTAAGCTGTCATGTCCTGAACTGAAATGATGATGTAAACTCTGTACTCACACAAGCACGAGAGCAGCGTGTTGGGAATTCCTCCGGATGATTTCGTTCAGCCTCACTTTTCTTTCAGACTGTGAGGGGAGGAAATTAATTAGAGACATCTGACAGAGTTTATTCACAGTGGGCGACATCAGAAGGGACAGCATGTTGTTACACATGAATGACATGTACACACACACACACACACACACACACACCTTAAGTCTGAAGGCCTCAAACTCTTTGTCGGTTATTTTCCAGGGGGCGTTTTGTCTCAGTTCCTCCACTGAGATGCCTTCCTGCTGTTCATCATGTAGCCTGAAGGGGGCAACACTGTCCACAAACCTACTCAGGCTTAGATACAGCAAGAACAAAAGGGACAGAAGTCAGTATGTGGTGAAGGACACAAATACAGAATACAGAACTCTAATCTTGGTCTTTTAAGGTTGGAAGACCTCTTAAGGTTAAAGGGATAGTGCACCCAAAAATGAAAATTCAGCCATTATCTACTCACCCATATGCCGATGGAGGCTCAGGTGAAGTTTTAGAGTCCTCAAAGCACTTGCCGAGATCCAAGGGGAGAGGGGGTAGCAGCACAACTCCACCTAATGCAGGCTGATAGTGCCCCAGATTAAAACGTCCAAGAACACATAATTGAAACCACAAAATATCTCCATACTGCTCGTCCATAGTGATCCAGGTGTCCTGAAGCCCCGACATAAAAAGTTGTTTGGAAAAACAACATCATTTGAACTCTGTTTTTAGCCTCATGGTAGCTTGTAGCTCCAAATGCCTCTCTGTGCACCGCGCTCACAGTCATGGAGATATTTTGTGGTTTCAATTATGTGTTTTTGGACGTTTGAATCTGGGGCGCCGTCAGCCTGCATTAGGTGCAGTTGTGCTGCTACCCCCTCTCCCCTGGGATCTCCGCAAGTGATGTGAGGACTCTAAAACTTCACCTGAGCCTCCATCAGCATATGGGTGAGTAGATAATGGCTGAATTTTCATTTTTGGGTGCACTATCCCTTTAAAAGTCCATAGTGGTTTACTTTTCTTATTTTAAACCGTAAGTTTTTATGTGATTATATCATTTGTTTGTGTGTGGAAAAATTTATGAGGGTGCCCTTTAGGAAAGCCCCACTTGAGGAGCCAGAGTCAAAAAAATTCAAATACTAACTTTAATGGTTTTTCATTTGTTTGTTCACAATAAAGCTACACCTAAAACAATGAAAAACACAGCCTATTAATAGAGATTAAAACCGACCTGTATCTGTATCTGATCAGATTCCAATGCGTGTTGTGACCTATGAAAGTGAATTCAACGATTTTTTGTACATACTTCTTGGCGTGTGGACGCCTCTCACTGTCCGTCATGACTATAACGTCGTTAATATCCAAACGAAATCTCTTCAGCAGAGCAATCATCCTAAAAGAAACAACGATCAATGTGTCAGCACACCAGTCTCCACAGACTGTCATATACTGCAACAGAAAAGCATCCATAAACTGGAGTAAGTCTAAAAATATTCTGAAAGATTTATGTATTGCCGAAAACGCTCCATCATACATCTACCAGCATTCAATTAAACAGCATGGATAAATGTATGCATGTTATTTAAGATATTACTATCTGACTTTAAAAAACAACAACCTGGTCTCACAGAAAAGGTTTGAAATGACTACAACCTCTTAATGAATTCCCTGGTTCAACAACCACGTAGTGGGTGGTGGTTAGTGTTACAACTCCATAGATAGTATAAACTAGTGATGGCCAAATGAAGCCTCATGAACCAGTTTCTTTACGTTTTGACCCCACCAGATGGCGCTCTTGGTTTAAAGATAAAGGCTGAAGGACTGGCAATGAAGTGTGCTTTCAAACCTTTGTTGAACAGACAGCGCCATCTGGTGGCTTCAGAAAATAAAGACAGTGGTTCATGAGGCCTCATTTGGCCATCACTAGTTTAAACAGCAAGAAAGTCCACATAGGGAGGGTGGATGGGTCAGACACCAGACTTTTACCCGTGAGACTGCTGGTAATGTCCTGTGTGACACTAAAAGTCAGCGTTGACTGCTGTTTACTTAATTGACGTTTAATTTCAAATAGATGCATTGTGAGTTAAATTTGTAGTTTAGAAAAAATAGACAAAGTACAGGACTTATTGACAAGACGTACCCAGCACCATAGGGAGCCATTTTGTGCTCACCAGTAACTTGTATTATTCACTATTATTTATCATTTACGTATCCCAAAAGGTAAAACTGAGAAAACCTACTCGTTGCGGCCTTCCTCCATGTTTTGTTCATCTCCTACGATGAAGACCCTGACCTTACTGTGGTGCCAGTGTTTCCTCCTGGTGAGCAGGTAAGGCACCAGCAGAGTCAGACCTTAAAAGAGAAGAGAAATACTGCAGTTCAGAAAGAGGAGCTATGTTCAATGTGCATTTTAACGTCACGCCTCAGTGTCCAATCCACTCCTCCTTGTGTCCACTGACCATTATAGTACTAAACTACAGTAACAAAGACTAAAATGTCATATATTGATTATCACACATATAGAGTCAACATACAACCAGTGTATTGTACTTGTTTTTTCAGATCTAACCTCCGTCATCAGCTATCCAGTAGACGTCGATGGTCTTCTTCCCCTGGTCATTCTGAAACACTGTCCTGATCTGATCACTGTCGCCTCTATCTGAGATGTCATCAACTGCAATGGCAAGAGGAGGAAGAATGAAGTGCAGAGCAATAGTTATATTTACTAGAGGTGTGGACTCAAGTCACATGACTTGGACTCAAGTTGTGTGTAGTGATAGCCAAATGAGGCCTCATAAACCACTGTCTTTATTTTCTGAAGCCACCAGATGGTGCTGTCTGTTCATCAAAGGTTTGAAAGCACACTTCATTGCAAGTCCTTCAGCCTTTATCTTTGAACCAAGAGTGCCATCTAGTGGGGTCAGAAAATAAAGAAAGTGGTCCGTGAGGCTTCATTTGGCCATCACTACTTATGACTAAGGAAAAATCTGGACCCGTGGCTGGACCAGTTGGGAACCACTGATCTAATCTGTACGCATGCTCACCTGATAACCTCTCAGGAGACTGCTGGTCATCATTTTCAACAGATTCATCAGACTCGAAGCCCTGGTTCTCTGAAAGGCAGACATTACATCCTTCACCATTTTTTTTTTGTTGAATAAATACACCAAGTTGTACAAAAGCATGTAGAGAAAATTCAAAGAGATTATGAAGTCTTCATTTCCAACCTTCAAAATCAAACTGGTCAGAGATATCCAATCCATCCATCATCCGCAAGATACACAAACAGTAGTTGGAGTCAAAGGTATCACTGCAGAACAACAGGGGAAGACGAGTTAATTAAGGTGGGAGACAGTTGACAAAATGTTTCCCCTTTTCTTTAACTACACTTACTATATGGTGTTGATATAATCTTCAATGCTCTCAGCAGTACTGTCCCTCCAGTTTGCCTTGAAGCCCAGGACCAGAGTGTTGGGCTTTAACTTTCCAAGACCAGAAGCCTTGAAAAAATGTCAAATTAAGAGAAAAGGTTTTAAAGAAAATACAAATAAAAACACACAAAAAGCCCCAAAAAGTCCCAGGATGATTGAATGTTCTATCGAAAGTAATATTTAGCACCCAAGAGATGATGCGTACTAAAGAAATGGGAAGAAATATAAATATAAAAAAGTATAAATGGCAAGGATGACATCGTATCAATTCTCGTCAACTTTAAGGTCCAGTGTGTAGGATTTAGGGGGATATGTTGGCAGACATGGAATATAATAAGTATGTTTTCTTTAGTGTATAATCACGCGAAAATAAAACTTGTTGTGTTTTTGTTATTTAGAATGAGCCGTTCTGTAAGAGGGAGCAGGTCCTCGTCTATGGCGATCACCATGTTGCACCGCCATGTTTCTACAGTAGCCCAGAACAGACAAACCAAATTCTAGTCAGGGAATATTATCAGACATTTGGCCATTCTGGGAGTAAGATCCTTAACAAAAACTTTCCTCATCAATGTGCTCATAAAGGTGTCTAATAAGATTTGATAGATTTGAATTCAACTCCTGTAGGAAAATCTGTGACAGCTGCTGAAAGTTGGGGTACCCAGAACCTTATTGGTGAAAAATTGAAAACGTTCACCTCTACCTTAAGCAGGTTGTGATCAGTCAAACTAGGGTTTTTTTGTCAGGATTCTGGATTGATTGCAAGTACTTGTTTTGCACCAAAACCACTCCTTGGTGGAAAAACGGCCTCGCCCAACTTTTCTGCTCATCACAACACCTTTTTATGTGAGTGTGAAAATAAATATTGCTGGGTGTGTGTAAATCAAGAAATATGGCTTTACAGGTTACTTATTGTTTACTGGTAACTGTTGCAGTTGGCTGGCATTCACAGCGAATTAGTGAGTTTGGAGTGGCAGGTGCCAGACCATTGAGTGTCTCATGGACAGACACAATGCACTCCACACATATCACAGCATTCTGCACAGCATTCTCTCCATGCCTGTCTTGGACTGGATGGCTCTTTAGAGCATGTCTTTGGACTCCAGTGACTATGATGGTAGGAGTACATGGAAGAGTCTGGAGAAGACTCAGACCCAGGCTCCTGACACATTTGACATTGTGGAGCAGTATTGTTTTCTAACCACCATTCTAGATATTTAAATAAACATATAGATGCCACTAAACCCCCATAAACCTAACACACTGTTCTTTTAAAACAGAATCTGAAGCCAGATAAATTCCCAGTAAATGTGCCTTATACTATTGAACACTTGCAGCTTCTCAAATAAAAGATGTTTTACCTGTAGCAAGTGTCGAGCTCCAACTCTGAGGCTGTCTGCGTTGAAAGGAGTATAAAAAGAGCGCACCTTCCTCTTGTTCATCCACTTCACCAACCAATCTGTGGTATCCTGCGGCCGAGTCTGCCTGTCCTGCTCCTAGGGGACAATGGGATATAAGGACAGATATAAAAGCAAGCTAAAGACATTGAGCATAACCTGTAAAAGATGTCAGACAAAAAGCAGCTGTACGGATGTTGAAAACTGGATATTTTCTCAAACACAAGGATATGAATCGGCACTCTATTTTCCTTTCAGGAGCAACATTGTTGAGATGGCATGACTGACCATGATTATGTCTCCACAGATCATGAGGCTTATGTGTTTGGTGAAGGACCCGACAAAATCCACTAGGGCTGGTCGCTGAATTGGTGGCCCAGTCAGGACAAGACATTGCGGTCTGAAAGAAAACAGATTAGATGTAAACACGTGGGATATGTGTATGGGATCAAATTCAAGCTAAAAAATAGACTAGACTAGGATTACCGATGCGTGATATAACTGTGGTCTTTGGTCACTCACCTAAAATTCTTGACATGATCCTCGACGCCAGACAGCGAAACAGAGTATGACAAGGCCATGTTGTATGTACCCGCCTGGACTGACGAACCCCAGTTTACCTCTGCGCATACCAAAGCACACGCACAAGTATGAGAGACAAAAGTAAGAGAGGGTTCTTCCTCTGTAAATAATATGGCTCTGACTTGGTGAACTTACTTGGCTTGTTGTAGTTGACGTATCCAAACAGGAAGAAGATGATGCAGAAGGTTGTGAGAGCAGCCCACCAGGTGAACAGGAACATCAGCACCACAGAGATCACTGCTCCAAACAAAGCTGTCCATCTACTGTAGTAGTGAAATGACGGCCTCCAACCTAAATGGGGTAACAGTGATTAGTAGAGGATCGGCAGGTGGCACATTTTTTATTTGTATCTGGATCTCTTTTAGCTCATTGGCTAATCTTCCAAGAGTCTACATTAACTGGATGGCCACACCATTGTCCAATATGGCAGCCAGAGGGCAAATGTCTAGCTGTGGTCAAACAGTCAAAACAATTATGTCCTATATCTTTTTCCTTCATCACAATGAAATAACATGACGTCAAGAATAAATGTGAGGAGCTGTTTGTGTCCTTACCATCCCCACCAATACAGTGCCAGATAGATTGGGACCCTTTACAGCCAGGCGTGATGTACAAACTATACAATTCAATTCAAGAAATGGTCACCCCTCTTCCCGGTCGGTGGTTGTTGGGCCCATCCAGCATCCCTCCCACCCAATTCTGCCACCTTAACTTCCATTGTTATTCCTAAAGTATGGTCCAGCATACCCTATGCTGAAGGAGATAAGACAGGAAGCACTGAAACACCTTTCCTAAGCATTTACAGAATTTGACCAGCTTTTGTCATGGCTGCCACGGAGATACTTCCAGGTAATTTCGCCCAGTTGGGAACCCTCCTAAGCAAAAAGTGACTAACCTGGCTCTTAGACTGGGACAAAAATGGGAGACACATGGTTACACCAAATTAAAGGGGAAAAAACTTCTTAGGAGGGAGCCTGGAGGAGCATAGGCAGGCAGGCAAAGTGTGTATTGTTATGCAGGAGACAGCTGTTTTCTTCCTGTTTCCTACCACCAACTAATGTTAGCCGCATTATACCTTAAAGGGCCAGTGTGTAAAATGGGTTGAAAACAGTGACATCAGTGGCCAAATTCTAAATTGCAGGGCTCACTCGCTCACCCCTCCCATCGGGTAAATGACGGTGGCCTCGTAGGGACAAAAAGCCTTGCGCATGAGTTTTTCAGGAGTAGGTCTATCTAGTGACGAGTATGTTTATTTAGAAATCTAAGCCATGTTACGATATTGTAATGAATCCCTCATGAGCAGGAGACCAGAGGAGTGTTCAGGAAAGAGGCCCGTTTATTTGAGCACTCCAAAAACTCCGGTAACACTCCAGGGGGTAAAAGACTCCGTCCCAAACTCTGACTCTTCTAGCGTAACAGACACACTTCATAACTTTACACACACACTCATTTACCATTCTGAGTGGGGACCCCCCTCCCCTCTCTGCTCAATCTCCAGCCCGCACACTGACTGACAGCGTAGCCGGTAAACAGAGCTCAGCTGTTTATTCAGCCTAGCGATATCTCCGGACTATAGTAGTTGCAATGGACGACTTTGAACGCGATTTTGAAGAGTTTCTTGTAGCGGACACAGACCCAGAGCCATACCTGTTTGAGCCGGAGCATACAGATGAGGAACTCCATGTGGATGCTGAGTGGGTGAGAAGAGAGGCTGAATGCACAGAATGGGATTCAGTGCTACTGCTACCATCGTTGGGGAGATATATCATCAGGAGGAAAAGCGCCGCAGAGAGTGCATCACAAGGAGTGAAGTTGCGTCTTCTTTTCCTCGCAGATGACAGTTTGGGTTCATTCTCTTCTGTTGCGTGGTAAGCGTGGTCCATTCGCAAACTTTATAACTAAAAAAACTTTTCACTACTCTCTGTCGACGAACTACTAACACTCTCTGCTGTTTCCTCCTCCTTCTTCCTTCCTTCCGCTGTCTTCGTTGGTTTATTTATACACGCGAAACACGTTCTCTGGCTGGCTGGATTGTCCGCTCGGTCTGCCGTACATACATGGCGGCGCAAGATGGCGACCTCTCTAAAGCAAGGCCCTTGCTATATATATATATATATAAAAGCATAACTATAAGGCTACGAAAACCAAACAAATTTTATTTTATAGCGATTATACACTTGTATAAACATATTAATGGGTAGAAGATTCAGATTCAGATTCAGATTGACAATAAACCATGCCAAATATTACACACTGGCCCTTTAATCGCAATGATTTCATAACCTTAAACCATGGCTTTTCTGAAGGCAATAACAAACAGGTAACTCACCGGGGGAGTTGGTGATTGAAGCGTGAAAGCAGCTGAAGTTGATGAGGCTGTAGGAACACAGGAAGAAGTTGGAGATCAAGGCTGCGATGTTGTTCAGGTCAGCTGTAATGATAAGGGAGAGATAAATCAAAACCACATTACAAATCCAGAGCTAAATTAAGAAAGTGAAGAGATGACCATTTAAAACAAATATGTGAATCAATAATTCAACAAAACAGCGGCAGTATTTGATCACACCCACCGATGAGAATGAAGGCCACAGCAATGACGTAGCAGAGTAAATAGGCTCGGAGTGGCTCATCATTCTTCCCATAACCCTTTGCAAAGAATCCAATGTACGGGTAGATATTGTCTCTGCACAGACACTGGCAGATAGGGCAGAACATATAAGCTCATAAATAAGTGCATCATGTTAGATTTTGTTACATTTCTACGAACGTTAGATATGCAGCAAAACAACAAGGACTTTTTATTTTGTAAATGTTCTAGCATGTTTCCCTACTGAGGGATAATTTTCACAGTTTACAAGTCCCATAAAAGGCTACATGAATACAACATTTTAATCTGTAAATTCCACCATAGTCTTTTCTGTCAATGTGGTCATGGTCTGGCAGTTCAAGAATGGAACAAATCCTGGAAAACCTTGTATCTAAATTCATAACAAGGGTCTAATGCTCAAAAATTGCCGTAATATAGGTGTTAGTTAGGTGATGCTGGTCATTTTCTTTAATGAACCAACACTGGAGAGGTGAAAACAAAGAAAATCTACATTTTATATCTTCATACACAGACAGTGTGCCAGTTGGAAGATACTCTACAATAAAGAGGGATGCATTAACCATCTTTAAAAATGCAGTGTAATTATACCAAGCTTTCAATGTACTAAAAAAGTACAACCATTTAAAGCTAATGACTCATTAATTTTCATTTTATTACTTAAGTTGATAACAGAGTTCTGTAATAAAAGCACAATTAATCACCTGAAAGACTTTAGGGGCAGAGACGAGGAAGCCGAGTGCTGACGACAAGCTGGCTGCGAAGACACCAGCAGTGATGAGGTGATAGAAACCTGAAACTTGGCCCAGTACCTGGTTGGAATAGTCATCATTAAGAATGCATTATCACATTTTGTGCAAGGGTTATAGACACAGACAAATTCAAAACATCAACATTTAAAGGAACAATATGTAAGATTAAGGGGGATTTAGTGACATCTAGTGGTGAGGGATTGGAGACTGCAAGTAGGTGAAATTTCTCCCGGTAAGAATTCCTTCAATGTTCATCGTTCAGGAAGTTTTTACCAAAAAAATGGAGCAGGTGAAAAACTAAATGAAGGTGTTTCAGGTTAAAAAAAAAAAAAAACCTGTGTTTTCCTGATAGTTCTTGTGAAGGGGCTGCTTACTACGGTGGACAATTTGAAAATCTATCTAGAGCCAGTGTTTGTTTTGTCCATTTTGGGCTACTGTAGAAACATGGCGGTGCAACAAGGTGATCTCCATAAATGAGGACCTGTTCCTTATGTAGATATAAACAGCTCATTCTCAGGTAACAAAACCAATGCTTATTTTCAGGTGATTATACACTAAAGAAGACATGGTTATCATATCCCAACTCTACCAATACACCGATCAGCCAAAACATTAAAACAACAGGTGGGTAAAGTGAATAACATTGATCATCTTGTTACAGTGCAACATCATGTTGGGAAACCTTTGGTCCTGGCATCTATGTGGATGCTACTTGACACACTCCACCCACCCGAACACCATTGCAGACAAAATAAACCCCCTCATGGCAACAGCACTTGTCAGTGATAGTGGCCCCCCAGCAGGACAATGCACCACGTCACACCACGAAAACTGCTCAGGAATGACCCCAGGAATGGGACAAAGAGCTCAAGGCCTCCATATACCCCAGATGCCAATCTGACTGAACATTTGAGGGACGTGCTGGTACTCCAGAGGTACCCCCGACCCACAGTGGGTCCGCCTTGGACCGGACTTGGCTCTGACCTGTCAAGGCATAGACACAGGACCTCTGGGGGGTGTCCTATAGTGTCTGGTGCTAACGCGTTGGCTTCAGATCTTTTGAGTCCTATGGGTTGTGAGGTGGGGTAATAGCATGTCCTGCAGATGTTTGATCAGAGTCGGATTTGGGGAATTTGGAGGCCAGGTCAACACCTTGAGGTCTCTATCATGTTCCTTGGGCCCTCCTGAGCAGTTTTTGTGGTGTGGCATAGCACATTGTCCTGCTGGGGGACCAATGCTACTGGGGAGTGCCGTTACCATGAGGGGGGGTACCTGGTCTGCACTGGTGTTTATGTGGGTGGAGCACATCAGGTGGCATCCACACAAATGTCAGAGCCCAAGGTTTCCCAAATGAACATTGCATTGTAATAAGATGATCAATGTTGTTCACTTCACTTGTCAGTGGTTTTAATGTTTTGGTTGATTGGTGTATATCCCCCATAAACCTACACACTGGACCTTTAGGGTAAACCGGCTCTTTTTACAAACCCAGTGTAAGAGCTTTGGACTGAGAAAATATTTGCTATATTTTGTAATCCATGATAGGCAGAAGGTCTTCTGGATTGAAAAGTACCTTATTATTGTTGGCCAGACCATAATCACAAGACTGTGACTGGATGCACTCTGTGAAGTTCCAGCCAAAGTTGCAAGCCAGACCCACACAGCCATCAGTGACGTTTCCAGTCAGAAGGTCAGTTATATTACCAGAGGCGTCCCGCACCACACACGACCCTGGACGAAGATGAAAATTGAGCGTAGCGTTAGGTCAGGCAGGACATGACGTCAAGCTCAGTTCACATTCCAGATCACATGATTTTTTTCTATGCAACCGATTGGCAAATCTCATTCAGGGCGCCCTATTTAAACTGCTCTGCCCTACCTACTTTTGCTGCTACCTCTGCAAGCTGCTTTGCAAGCTGCCTCCACCCCAGCTCCTCCTTTCCATGCCATGTCTGACTTATCAATGTCATTTCTGTTTGTCATTGATGCTGCTCTGTTCTGTTCCCGGGGGGTCTTTTCTGCTGCTCTCTGTGCTTTAGGCTTTCCATGTAGGCACATGGAAGGGCAGGGAAGTTTGCTCTCTCTGCATCGGGCTTTCCTCGTTTGCACATGGAAGGGCAAAGAGGTGTGCTCTCTCTGCCATAGGCTTTCCATGTAGGCACGGGAAAGCGGCTTTCTGCATAGGCCCAAGGAAAGGCAGAGAGGCCCCAGATCAGAGTCATACTGTTAAATATGATACTACAAATAGAAATAAAGTTTTCTTTGACTAAAGTGGTCCTAATTCAAGAATAGTCATGATGTAAAGTAACAACTTGACATTATTGTTTTATCTCTGAAAACTCTCTGAGTCCAAGATGAACTTGCTGCCAAGCAGGGTGTGAATAAAGACTCTTTACACAGCCACATGACTGCTTTATTGTCTTCACTAGGTTTAATTTTCTGGAATAGTTGTTGGAGAATGCATTCCCTTTTTTGTAGAAAGCTCTCATATCTGGAGGACTCTTTGTATACACCAAAAAAAAGTTCATTGCCACTGCAGCAAATCAGTGTCAGAAAACACATATGGTTCTTTACAAGGAGATGGAAATGGCTAACAAGTAAAAACTCAAGGTCTTCATGACTCTGGAGGTTCCAACACAAACCTGAAAATATTGGGGTTTTTTAGGAGGTGTTTGTCCTGGCCAAAGGGTCTTTATATTGGCGACCTGCTGAGTTATGATTAGGTTTGAAGGGTCCTCTGTGATGTCATGAATTTCTCATGCTGATTACATCTGTCATTTGTCTCCTCTTTCTACCATTTTGAGCACATCAACCTTCTTGTGCTCATGCAGTACACTGATGACACTGCCCTTAATATGGGTGGCAAATCCTCAGGCCACATGCTTCCAATCTCCTCTCTAAAAGTACCAGCACCTTAAATAATCCCCACCAAACCAGATAATCAAACCAATCAAATGACAAGTAAAATCATGACAAAATAAAGTCACTTTGAATGACTAGCTTACCAATAGTTGCAGTTATTACTAGATAGCTGAATGTAGTCCAGAAAATGGCCATGAGGGTGCCTTTAGGGATAGCAGTAGCAGGGTCCTGCAAAAGGAAATAATACACAAGTCAGCATTCATGTTTGACTTGGTGGCTGTGATGTAAAACCTATACGTCTGATTTCTTTTTCATCTTACTTTGAGGTCTCCGGAGATGTTGGCTCCAGACAGGATGCCGATGGTGGAGGGGAAGAAAATGGCAAACATCTTGAAAAAGTTGTGTCCAGCTCCTCTCCAGTCTGGTTTCAGATTTGATATGAAGATTTCACCTGATGACAGGAAACAACAAAAAACAACGCTCTACTATCTGCTGATAAAGTATATAATATATACATATTCTAAAACTGGTGATAACAAGCTGTAATTAAAGGGAGTAGTTTGTCCCAAGAAGCCTGAACTCACTACGGTATCCAAAGATTCCCTGGGCATTTTTCTCCAGACTGGGTGGTATGACTGTGCCCACGAAGTAGTTGGCAAACGAGACCAAGAGAACTATAAAGAACAGAATCTGGGTCTGAGAGACAGAGACAAACAAAAGAGAAGAAAAAAAGGAAAATGATATCATGTTGAGTAAAACATTTTAAGAGACAAGTAGATTTATCTGAGAAATCCAGCAAATAAAGTGAAGTGTGTCAGCATGTACTCACCTTGGACTCCCACTCCATTCCAGCCAATGAAATGAGCAGCAGAATAGTCACCGTGATCACGCCCACGATACGGACATCATTGATTGCATCAACCATGACAACACCAAACTCCTACAGTAATACAACCAAATTATTCGCACATCCTTCAGAAAAACAGAAACATGAAATGAAGACACTGTCCTCCACCAAAATACTACCACATATGTTTGTTAGCTTTTTACAACCCATACTTTTTGTGAGGCAGCGACCTCTAGTGGCTGTAGTAATTATGACAGGACCAAAGGAGGAAGTATGCTAATATGGTATAAAGACTGATAAAGTCTTTGTAGAGTGGAAGAGATCAAACAAACACAGGGCTTTCATCCAGGAGACCGTTGTACATGTCCTGTTTAAAACCAAGTTTTAACATTGAGTTGTTTTGAGTATGCAATATGTTGTGATAAATATGTTGTATGCCACATAACATTTGTCATGTTACATTAGTACCAAACGTACTTATTTTAACTCACGCCATGATTATTTTTAAACCTAACCAAGTAGTTTTTTTAGCCTAAACCTATAGAAGTAGTTTTGTTGATTAAACATATAGAAGTAGTTTTGGTACAACTGCAACCATTTCACAATGTTAGTCATCAAAATCCAACACGTGAGCAGTGACTTAAGGCTTCAGACACCAACAAAAACAGAGTTATAGTAACAGAAGTGTATTTTGAAAAAAGATGCATGTAACAGGCAGAACTTGACACGGTGTCCCAGAGCATCAACAGCCAACACACCCAGGGTACCTTTCACGTTGTATCTGGACGTGAAAAGTCCATGACTAAACGTTGATATATGACAAGGTCAAAGTGAGAATGTGTTGGTTGTATGAGTTGGAGGACTTGTTGTATGTATAAAGAGCAAATCAGGAGTCATTGAGGGGTCTTTGCTTAACAGTTAAAATGTTTTTGAGTTCACATTCTTATTAATATATATCTGTAAAATCAAATTCATTTATTCTTTTCAAGTTGTAAAAATTCTGTTAGACAGTTGAAAAGGAGCACATCTATTATGTGAAGCCCAAAAGTTCAGAGGAGAGCTAAGATAGGGCTAAAACGGCCCAAAATTCCAAAACTGTTAGTTCGAAAATGTCCCTTTAGACCAAAAGCCCATTTTGCTGACCTTTATCCTAGCCCTTTATCACAAAAACAAACACCCATGCTCGACAGTCCCATATCTCTGAAAATACTCACTCCCTGTAATAGCTGGAAAAGCAGGGACAGGTTGCTGAAAAAAACACCTGGGTTCAGTGGCTCAAACTCCGCTGGGAAACTGAAACTAACTTGCAGGGAGTGTGTATTTTTGGAGAAACAAGATTTCAGAGCAATGGGTGTTTTTTTTTGGGATAAAGGGCTGTCAAAGAAATTTAGAATTTTGGGCTGTCAGAACAATGGCATGGCACCTAAATTAGCAGAAAACAATGAAGGTGTGTTATCAGGGGGTTCTTGTCAAATATATACTCTTAGTGGCCATGTTAAACAAACTATTAGGCCTATATATTATTTTTTAGCGCACTGAAGCATAATAAGTACCTGCATTAGATCACGGACCACCTCTGCAAAGCCAACGGTGTTGAGTGCACAGCCCAAAGCGTTGGCAAAGGAAAACACCATCCCAATTGGCCCACCAATTTCAGGACCCAGAGAGCGGGAGATCATGAAGTACGCCCCACCTGACAACAATGTTCAACAAGAGATCCAGTACTGTGTACATCATGTTTAAAACCTTAGTGCATGACTTAGCAAAGATTTTGAGACACAGGAAGTGACTGACCTGAGGTCACCCTCCCATTGGTGGCGATGGCAGAGATGGAGAGGGCAGTTACTGAGGTCACCACCACAGACATCAGGATAATAAGCCAGGTCAACACTGAGATGAGACGAATGAAGGTATTCATCATTACTATGATACTAAATCAACTGTGGGACACTTCCCTCCATCTTTTCACTGCCTGAGTTTATGGAAGGGCCATCTTTCCAACAGTGAAGTACTTCTGTAACTTCAGGTTTTACCCTGCACCTGAGATTAAGCTCTATGAGCAATGTGCACACACTATTCTCATGCAGCATAATGTGTAGAGGTAAATCCATTACAGATAAGAGGGTGGGAGTGACACAATGGAGTTTTCTACTCACAGAACAGGGGAATAAAAATGACTGAAGTACAGAGGGATGAATTAACTCACAAATGCCTGCCTGAGAAGTGATCCAAGATAGGCGGAGAAACAGGATGACTCCCCAGATGTTCAGCATGCAACGAACCTGTGACAAAAGTTCAATAAAAACAGCTGAGCAAGATTTCATAATTTCATATATCAAGTGTTGACATCAATGAAATAAGGAGTACGTAGAGCTTTTGTCCACGTTTCAAACACTATACTGTATATTCTCAGACACACATAAGTTATGCTCACCATGACTCCAGTCACCCAGCCAAATCTAACAGGAGCCTTCCCATGTGGAGCTTGTGACTGTTCATATCCACTGTCTGGCAGATGGCTAACTCCTGGGTCTATGGTGGTGACCTGCATACCCGCCTCCTCCTCCTTAAATACATTTCATACAAACAAAAACAAAAAATCAAATACCCTGATGATAATAACAGGAATTGGAATTTATTCACTTTTGGATTAAACTCTCCAAACAGATATCTGCATCTGGATCTGTAGACAATGGTACAAGATTTTGGTATCAGTAGCAGTTTGGTTTCCATTTGTAGCCTGAGTTGCAGTGGCACCCCCAGAAATTTTAAACTATGTCAGTATGAGAGTTAAGTAATTGCATACTGATAAACTTTGGCCTATTTTACAGTTAATATCACAAATTATCTGACGTGCATAGACCAATACAGGTGCAGATAAAATTTTGAGGTCCACAACAATCCTGTTTTAATGTGCAATGTATCTGTATATCTCCAGCGGCAATCTCCAGGGCTGAAAAAGGAAGCTAAGGGGGAGTGCCAAAAACTACAGTTCTTTGAATGGTCACTTGAGGTTGCTCCAGAGGCGAGTCAATCCCCTTAGACCAGGGGTCGGCAACCTTTCCTATTCAGAAGAGACATTATTGGCCAAAAAATCTGTCTGGAGCCGTAAATCACATTTTAATAAAAGTTAACGGACTATTACGTCTGAATCAGCCCATTAACATTACAAATAGGTCTAAATGAGCATTCATTACTATGATTTACTACAAGGTGGCTGCTCTACAGTTGGCTACTTTTATTTATTTATTTATTTAGAAAGTTAACTTTGCAGCATTGTGGTGAAAGCTAATGAATCTGTCCACACATTATTAAATTCTCTATTTTCCTCCAAGACTTTTCCTTTGTGGAGCTAGCCTTGCTAGAGAGACTCCATGCTAACCACTGCTAGCGACAGTCTGCAAAACTTAGAAGGAAAGGCAAAAGGCTGTAGATATATTACATTTTAGTTGATGAAACGTTAAGCTACTTGAGATACACGCTGTGAGGCATCGCCATAGTCTATGTGAACAGACTGCGCTGCTGGCAATGGAGGCGAAACGCATTGGCTGAAATGCAATCTTGGAACCCATCAGCTATCGTCTAGTGATGATTTAGCTTTTTATTAGTTGTCACGAGTTGCTAATCAAACTGTAAAGAATGAGCGGCACACAGAAGAGAATGTCTTGGCTTGGATATCTGCTGGATAGAAAGATAATAGCCAACTGGTTCTGAAACTGCGGTTAGATAGGATTCCCCAGAGGTGGAAAACTTACCTCACATGCCCTGCGGAGAGCCTCAAGAGATGGTCGGCTCCTCGCCTGCTGGTTTGGCAGCGTGCTGGCATAATGCTCCAGCTGTGGCACCAGGTCTAACGTGCTGTAGAAGGAGGATCTCCGTAGCTCCATCCTCGAGCCCCGGTGCTCCAAGCCACTGGGAAAAACAGGGAAAAATAACAGCAAACGTTGCAGTAAATGCAGAAGGTAATTTGTATTGTCATGAGCTGCAGTTCCCTTAATGGTCACTAGATGCTCCTAATTGTGTTTTTCCATAATTCGAAGGTTAATGTTCCCTATTTCACAAAATATCTCCTCTCTCTCCACTTTAACTTTCGCAGAACATCAAAAGATATAACAGCCATCAATGACTTTAACTTAAAAACCAACAAAATGACATTAATCAGTAAGTAGTGTAAGACAGCGGTTCCCAACTGGTGGGTTGTGGTCCAAAAGTGGGTCGTGGGTCCATTCTGAACACACTTTTGAAGTACAGTGAATTTCCAACACAGAGCTTTTACTTTGAAGTGCCGTTTCCTGCTGTAGAGTGAGTGATTAATGGACAGCTACTTAATAGAGACAGCAAACCAGCTCAATGGCATGGCCAAAGGCAAGTATGACTCTGATTATATGAAACCGTGTGGACCTTGAACCAGTGGCTAAGGAGAAATCTGGACCCTGTGGCTGGACCAGTTGGGAACCACTTTTGTAAGATGACCGGGAATTATTTAAATTAAAGTAAAGTTGAACTTATGACTAATTCTGAAATATGGAATAAAGGACATGCCAGTTGCTTTGGAAAAACACAAACCTTGAATCCACGTCTGAGACCACGATGGTTGGAGGAATTTGGAGGTTTCCATTTTGTTGCTGGCTGCTGGCATCAAAGTGGTGTGGAGAGTACCTGAGAGGTCCTTCTTTATTGGCTGAATAGTGAACACCCGGGACCGACCTGTCACGTTTGGATATGAACTGCCCCATCGGCACGTCTTAATGATTCCTTTGTAACAATAAGGGAGAAAAGGGCCTGAGAAAAGGTGGTCGATTGTTAGTATGTTCTATGAAAATATTGTCAATCTGTAAACACTTATGATGATTATCAGTGGACTCAGAATTTAAAAATTTTCAGTTTTTTGGCAACTACCCAGAATTAAAAAAAAAGGGGTCAATATAATTTAGTTGTTAGTTGATTTTTTTTTGGCCATTAGGGGGCAGTGGAACAAGCTGAAAAAACGTGACATATTTCCACCTTATATGAAGTTGTTAATGGAAGTGTATGCTTAAAGCTGTGCTGTATGTTGCTTTGTAATTTTGTATGGGTCTCACCTTTCACATGACGCATACTGCAGTCATTTGAGCCATTGTTAAAAGTTTACTGATTTAGTTTTGCACTTCTATTACATTGTCAAAAGGATCAAAATCGATTCAGCAAAAGTATAGATATCGTCTGTTTTTCCACACACTGTCAAAGCCTGGCACTTACATTATCCAATAGCAACTTAACGGTAACTGTTCGGTCAAAGATTTGGGTTGTTATGCTGGTAGCTGCTAATGTAGCCTCAAAATGCTAGCTTAAAGCAGAGATGAGGAGCAGGTTACAGAGGTCTGAACTTCAAATATGCAGACCTCCAACAACTATAAACAGATTCTGATGTGTAAGATCTAGGGCTGCCCCCTAATAGTCGACCAAATGTTAGTCAACCTGAAAGGTCATTCGTTGGCAAGATTTCATTGGTCGCTTCGTCGCAGTATAAAAAATCATGGAACTCTATCAGGAGCTGCACTTGGTCAAAATAAATCAAAACCTTTATGACTGTACCATGCGGGATTTTAATTTGAAAGGACAGACACAAGAAGAGGCCACGCTCAGCAGACAGATAGGAGTCCTGTTACAAACCAATCACAGCCAATCACAATCTTTCCCTTTTTCTGTAAATATTCAGTCTGATAAATACAGAAAAGTTGATCATGTTAGTGCAGGGCTACCCAGAGCTTTACATCTGTCCCACAGACGATAGGCCTACACACTTATAAACAGCGCCTGGAAGAAGATCAGCTCTGCACTCAGGATTTCAGGTCAATAGGCTATATGATGCTTGTTAAGGTTGCATAGCAACCTCAGACGCAACTGGCTACCGCGCTCTTGACAGTTGGCACAAAAAAGGCACAAGAATACCACCCAGCGCCCGACCTCGCATTTTCCAGGTGGTTAAAGACGCAGCATGTGTGCGGCCTCTAATTTCCAGGGCTGGTACCTGCGGTTATTCCACAGGCTAGTTAATAACATGTCGGGCAGGAAATCCAAAGTGTGGGATCATTTTGAGAAGGTGAAGGACGAACCCAAGGTGATATGTAAACTCACCTTCACTGGTCGACTACAAACATGACGTATCATCTGAAACATGTCAGTAGCTACATGCCCATTAGCCCACAGCTTCATTAACAGGCGGCTCGCTCAGTGTGTGACGTGCACTTGTAGATAAAATATAGGCCTATATTAATGAAGGTTCATTAGTACGGTTTTGTATTTCTCTGTAATGTAGCACAGTGTTAACAGTGTTACTGATACTATTCTTTCTCACACCTTCAACTCAAACCATTGTGTTGCCCCGCCCAAAATATATCATTTAATAATTACATTAATATCATAAACTAGTTGACTAATGGCCCTAAATCAAGACTATTGGTCAACTAGGAAAATTCTTAGTCGGGGGCAGCCCTAGTAAAATCGATGTTTCCCCTTTCATTTAAGTAAATTTAATAAAAAAGAGATAATAGCAGTTTTAAATGCATTGTAAATATTCTTCACTGTAACTATGAATCCAGTAAAGCTGGTGAATATTTAATTTCACTGATACTGCTAAAAGAAATTCATGTGACTAATTACTGACATAATATAAGTACTGAATGCAAAGGCAGTGTGTGGGAGTCTTCTGTTCTACCAGATACTGAGCACAATACTCCTGCATAAGAAATCGTGATTGTGCAAGTCATAGTCACGTATTTAAAATTTCTTCTGTCTCTAACTTTGTACATTTTTGAACGCAGGTGAAGTAGACTGATATATGGGACTGATTTTGATATATTCTATAAATTGAGGTATATGTTATATATAGTATATATTATATATTTTGTAGTATAGCTGTTGTATTACTGTTTTCCCCTATGTACATTTTTATATTAATTTATTTATATTTATATTTAATTTATGTTTGATTTTTTATTGGCAATTATTTTACCGCCCTAAGTGGTTTATATGGTCAACCACACCTGCCATCATAGAGCTTGTCAGCGTATTGGTGTACATTATGTATGAATAAAGGTGTGTTTCAGCTTTTTGAGTATTTTGACAAAGATTCAAGTGGGATCTAAACATTGTCTTGATTTAAATTGTTGCAAATGTATTCAGCTTAATAAACTGGTCATACATAAAAGTCAAAAATAAAAGTCATACATACTATTAACACTACTGAAACACAGCAATAATCTAAAATGTATACAATCATAACACAAATTTTGAATTTGATTAAGCCTTTTGATTCTGTCATATGAAAACATTTAGCCTACTATTTAGTAGAAAAAATGAAGCAAAGTACTCACAAAGATCCGTTTTATTCCAGATGAATAAGCTGCAATGGATGAAATAAGTTCCTTCTTTCATATCACAGGGCAAATCTTTATATTTATACCTTCAGTGAGGTAGGTGACATCTCCTCCCATCTTTCTTAGTTTCCTCCCATCTCTTCTCCCTTCTCCCTTACACACACACACATTATCATTGTGTACACTCAAAGAAATGTAAGATAATTTCATAAAAGATGAATTTAGCTTCTCTCTGATGTCATTTAAGTTTATCACAAAAAGGGTGTTTTAAATAAAGCACATGACTCAGCATGTGATTAAAAAGAAAACTCTAGTGGTCTTGAAGCAGACCTTTAAAGAAACTGGTCCACACACTCACCTTTACATTATAATTTTACACATAGTAGAATAAAGATAATTTTTGTGTCAGTGTCTGATAGTATCTTTTCTAGCCTTTACCAATGTAACCTGTTTTATTTCATGTTTTCCATATTTAGTTTCTTGTTTTTTTTTCATGTTTCTGGCAGCAGCATTGGCAAAGTTTGGAGTAAACAAAAGAACAAGTGGTTGGTTAGTAAAAGTCACTTCAGCTGAACCGATTTTAAAAAGTAAAAGATATGTACTATGTACTGTAAACTATGTACTCAAAACTCTTTGATTTTCTTGGGAGCACACAGCAAAAATGTAACATAAATGGCAGGTTTGCATCAGAACAGAAGTTTTATTCAGCTGCTGAGAGCTGTGATCACACCAGACCTGCGGGTCGAAGTTGTGATGACGAATCCCTGATTTTAAAAGTGTCGTGCAATCAACAATTAATGTAACTCACTTATTTTACCAACATGACTGTTCTGAAACAGTTTGAAAATACAAGAAAGACCCTGTTGTGCTCTGAAAAGTCTCCAATTAACTTCGGTGAACGGCAAGGTCCATTACTGGGCCCACTGCTGTTCCCTGTTCTTTCAAAATAACTCCATATTTAACCATTCAACACTTTTGACTTTCTGTTTAAAACATGCTGTTTTCACTTACTCTGGCATTCAAATCATTATTGTAAAATTAGTATAGACAAAATTTTTTCTTCATTTTTTTAAATTTAAATTGAATTTTTTTTTTATTTAAATTTGAAATGTTCATTACATCAATAAACATGAAGGGCAGTGCATAGTTTAGATTTCCTGGAGATGAGATGATAGCTGAGCTGATACGAAGTGGCAACCATTGGGGTTGAGTAATGAAGCCACTGCAGTAGTGCCAAAAACTGCAGTTCCTCTAATGGCCACTTAAGGCTGGCTCCAGAAGCAAGTCAGTCCCTAAAGACCTCCATGTTAAAATGGCCAACTTTAGAGCAGAAATAAACATGTTTACAGTCTGGTACAAAAAAACAGTTTTGGTCTCCATAGCTAATTTTTCATTTCTATATGTCTCACCTATTTACATTTAATTATGTTTAATTAGGCTCGAAGTTAAGCATATTTGAGGCCGAGGCCACTTAAACGACAGGCACCTGTCAAGAGTCAGATTCTATCCCAGCTCCTCCATAATTCTGCCCTTTCTTTCAAAAATAGTCACTTCCTGCTCCAAAACAACAAGATGGCAATGGTCGAAATGCCAGACTTGAGGCTTCTAAACAGTCCACTAACCAATGGGTGGTGTCATGGTTGCTACATCCATCAATTTATCCAGTCTATGACTCATGCATTTGTAACGTGACTCAACAAAAGGGTTGGGTTTTTTTTTTTTGCCAGAATTGTTGATTGTATATGACGAGTAATGTTAACTACATCAGTAATATAGAATATACAGCACTACTGGAGAAAACTTGGGGTCCCCCTCTGCTTTCACAAGATACCCATTAAAATAATATAATGTATGAAAAAAGTACTTTACTTCTTACCCTTTGGACTTCAGTCATTCTAAAAGACCATCTCATTCGTCAGATGTCTTTCTAATGACACCAAACAATTTTAATTCAATATTTATTGAACTCTGGCGAATAACTGTCATTTTAAACATAGTGTACAAAACAGATAATGAGGTGCACCCACAGTTTTTATGTTTTAAGATATGCGGCAGAAACAGCCCTGTCCCCTAGAAATTACATTCATATACAAGTAATATGAAACAAAAAAAAAAATGGGGTTAGCACTGTCACCTCACAGCAAGAGAGCTCCCATTTCAAACCCCAGGGTGGGGGAGCCCCTCTGTATGGAGTTTGCATGTTCTCCCCGTGTCAACGTGGGTTTTCTCCAGGTACTCCGGCTTCCTCCCACAGTCCAAAGACATGCAGGTTAATTGGTGACTCTAAATTGTCCATAGGTGTGAATGTGGGTGTGTATGGTTGTCTGTCTCTACGTGTCAGCCCTGTGATAGTCTGGCGACCTGTCCAGGGTGTACCCTGCCTCTCACCCAATGTCAGCTGGGATAGGCACCAGCCCCCCCGCAACCTCTAACAGGATAAGTGGTTTCAGAAAATGAATGAATGAATGAAATGAATGAAGTTGAAAAAATGTTGATACTGAACAAATCAGCAAAATAGGCGATCTGGCAATACAGTATTCACTCATAGTGACTACAGCGTTGGGTTTTTATTCCCTTTGTTTTTAATCAACATTTAACTGAAATCACAATCTTTCCCTAACCTTAACCAAGGTGCATTTGTTGGTTACACCTACAATGAGAGTCTGGGAGCAAACCTGAGGTCTGGTTTCAAAGTCCTGCACTTTGTACACCAGCCATCCACCCCAAGCGCTTTGCTGCAAAGCCTATGCAGGATATGAATGTAGTGTTTTGTTACCTAAAAGAAACATTTCTGAACATAATCCATTACACATTAACAGCTTAATCAAGAAAGCAGTTTTGTAGCATACAAACGTAAATTCTAGGCGACAGGGTTTGCAGAAAATTGTACGTTAGGGCCAAATATACTACAGAATTCCAAATGATAAATAGTCTACTAACAGAATCAACAGCAGTGGCAGACAGTAGAAAGTTTCTGTTGTTGATGACACATACACTGCAGAAAAAAAGTATCAGTTTTATGCCTTACAATTCAAACTAATTGTCTATCCACCTTATTCCTGAGGGCACCGCTGTAGAAATGATTATAGGCGCAACTTCCTGTGAGATAGCGGAAGTAACAGTAAGCTAGTTAGTCCCATAGACTGTCTGTGGTTAGTTCCAGTGGCTACTCTTGGTGGCTAACCGCCAACGCTGGTTCTTTTCTAAAGGAATTTGCCTTCAGTTTAGCAAATACTGATTTATTTCTTAACAAATATTTATCTAATGTTAACTTAGTATTTTCAAAAATGTCTTTGCGGAGCTCTGGTACCTGTTGCACTGTAACGACTAACGATTAACGATTAGCTGGGAAACATCACATTTATTCACTTTACATGGGGCTACAGTTTACACTGAATTATGTTAAATGTTTGCCGAATGTGTTAGTATCTCTTAGTAAGTCATCAGAAATCAGATGTTTAACTTAAGCTAGCCCGGGCCATGTTAAAGTTAACAATATTTTAACGGAGCAAGGCAAGCTAATTGCTAGCGTGCTTGGTTGAAAAGGAAAAGATGGCAGAGGTATGATCACATAATCCTGTTTGAGCTATAACAGGTGGTGTGTTGCACATTTTATTTGCTCTTGGAAAAAAGAATAGAGCACTGTAAACAAACTGTTACCATTGGAAATCGCCGGTTTCGGTTCAACGCCGGAAGTTGCATACATAATTCATGCAAGGTATCATGGGGGCTAGGAATAAGGTGGATAAACAAAGGAAGTATTGTGTTGTGAAGGTAAAATCTGTAAGACACTTAAAATATGATATATTGGAATCTTGCTGATTACTCCTTAAATCATAGCATGCAGTCTCTTTAATTAAATTTGCATTGAAAAAAGGCGTTTTCTCTTTGGTCTAAGGAAAACAGGCTTTAAGTCTGCATACTGACTGACTCATTAAAGGTAGGAAACTTCTTGCAGTGTATTAGTCATAGTGCCAGTACCCAGCTATTATTAAACCTGCACTCTACATGCTCACAATGCCATTGTGCCCTGGTCAAAGTCACTTGTTACACCCACACTGGTAGAGGAATCGCTAAGGTAGGTGTCTATGCAGAGTCTTGTTCCAAAATGGACTGTGTATTGAGACATTCTCTTGCAGCATTGCTAAAGAGAGTGACTGACACGCTCATGACCTTATGTGAACTTGGGAGCGTCAGTCATAGTGACAGTGTTTGCAGATCATTTTGTAGGAGAGGTTATGATTAGAAAACATAAAACCATTCGTGTGAAATTAAACTCATTTCAAAATTAGTAAGTGCAGTGACTGTGTGACATTTCCAGGAATGCAGTGTTCACACTGTTCCTCCCTGCTGTCCCTGGCTCTCCCTTTTTGCACTCTGAGGAGGGAGGGATAGAGAAAGAAAAACAGATATGGATGATGTTGGGCCAAAAGGAAAACCAAGAACTTGCCGCCAAAACCAAAAACATGATGCAGATAAACAATCAACTCACATGCCGGACTCTAAAGCCTGTCACCCCCTTCACCACCCCCCTTCATCTCTCCTCAAGGACACAGATTTCATCTCTTACATCCTTCCCTCATACTCAGACACTCTCTTCGCTTGCCTACGTAACCTTCAGGAGGAAGAGCTACTCCTTGACTGCGCATTTCTCCTTCAAGACAACTCCGTCCAAGCTCATAGACTTGTGTTGGCAGCTGCCAGTCAAGCCCCAGATGTATTTTTTGGCTCAAAACAAAAATTTAGGCTTGGAGTGGAGACAATAAGAGAATGTCGATTGACCCCAGTTGGGTTGAGGGCTGTTCTGGACTTTGCATACGGTGGAGATGTCACCATGGACTTGAGTAAAGAAGGGGTAATGGATGAGGTGCTGGATGCTTGCAGGTGTCTAGAGATGGAGAGGCTGAGGCAAAGGAGCCTGTCAAAGGTCGCGGCCTCTGCAGCCACAGAGAGAGAGAAGAGCTTGGCGATCATCAGGGACATGTGGGAGAGAGGAGTAGGGTGTGACGTCACAATACAAGCAGAGAGTGGAGAGAGATATTCAGGTAAGAGGCTGCCAAAGAAGTCCTCTTGACTGTCCTCAACAGGAAAATAATAGCACTGGCTGTTTGTTCAAACAGCTAAAATGGCTGATGATTACATGTTCCTGACAAAACACCATAGCTGTATGAGTAATGATTGTTTTCTGGCAGAGACAAAACCCCAAGTAGTGTGATGTGTGAATAGCCTGTGTAGACCTTCAAGAACTTGGGGAGATGACAAAATGTATGTCATTATGTCCATCCATGAAATAACCTTAAGAGAGGAGTTTGGGGTGAATGGCTGAGAGTTTAACTCTGATGCACAGCTTTGGCATGGAAGAATGCTCATTGCACCCTCTTTGCTACCAGCAGTCAACACTTTCTCTGTAACTAATGCAATGATCTTTGCCTAATTTTAACCAAGTAGCAACTAACTCCAGGAAACTAGCGATGGCCAAATGAAGCCTCATGAACCACTTTCTTTATTTTCTGACCCCACCAGATGGCGCTCTTGGTTTAAAGATAATGGCCGAAAGACTTGCAATGAAGTGAGCTTTCAAACCTTTGTTGAACAGACAGCGCCATCTAGTGGCTTCAGAAAATAAAGACAGTGGTTCATGAGGCCTCATTTGGCCATCACTACAGGAAACCTCAGATAGATATTTTTTGGCTTTATTGCCGTTACTTGACAGTACAGACTTAGTTTGAAAGGGGGAGAGAGTGGGGATGACATGCAACAAAGGGCTGTGGGTTGCAATCGAACCTTGCCTTTGCAGCAAGGACACAGCCTTTGTACAGTGGCATGCACAGACTTTTTGAAGGGCAGGGACGAAAAGAAAAAGAAGGGCACATACAGCGCATTCTTGCCACTGAAGAGGGCACTAAGTTCCGCGTGTTTTCGAGGGCACTTTAGACATGTTTATATGTTATACAAATGGCACATTATATAGCCTTTAAACAGACTAACTAGGCAGACTACTCAAGTTAGTTTGTAGTTAGGATCAGCATCCACGAGAACTGTGTAGATTCAACGTTGGACTGTGAAGAACACACAGAGACATGGATGTATGAAAGAAAGAAATCCCTGGGTGGGTCTGGGGGTCCTCCCCCAGAACATTTTCAATTAAGTAGATGCCATTTCCTGTATTCTTGTGCATTTTAACACCATATTAGCACCAGATAATCCAAACTGGTTCTGTGAGATATAGTTCTGGCACAATATAGATCAAAAAAGGGCCCAACATAAAAGTCATTGCAACAGTAATGTTTTTACCACCCAAGAGGGCAGTTTATCATGTTTTAACCAGCCAAGAGAGCAGTTTAGTGTGTTTTTCCCACCCAAGAAGGCAGTTTATCATGTTTTAACCAGCCAAGAGGGCAGTTTAGTGCGTTTTGCCGACCAGGAGGACACTTTAGCACGTTTTTACCACTTAAGAGGGCAGTTTATCATGTTTTAACCAGCCAAGAGAGCAGTTTAGTGTGTTTTTTCCACCCAAGAAGGCAGTTTAGTGTGTTTTGTCAACCAGGAGGGCACTTTAGCGCACATTTTGGCTCCCAGGGGGGCACTTTGGCTGCCAAGAGGGCACTTTAGCTCGCGTTTTGGCTCCCAGGAGGGCATTTTGGCTGCCAAGAGGGCACTTTAGCTCGTGTTTTGGCTCCCAGGAGGGCACTTTAGCACGCGCTTTGGCTCCCAAGGTTAGGTTAGGTCTCAAAACAGGGTATTCTCTGCTCTGAGAGGCTGGGGACCTGTCTGCTGAAGGAGCTGAAATAAAGATGGAGACCATGCGAGGCAACAGACTAACCACGATGGCGATGGTTGCAATGCCAAACCTTGGCAGTTTACAAACCAGTGGGTGACATCACAGTGGCTATGTCCATTATTTTTACAGTCTCTGCCTGAACCCCACAGAGAATCTATGGAGTATTGTCAAGAGGAAGATGAGAGACACCAGACACAACAATACAGATGAGCTGAAGGCCGCTATCAAAGCAACTTGGGCTTCCATAACACCTCATGCAGTAATTCCTGCAATAGGCGCCCCAATCAAGTATTGGGTGCATAGATGAACATACTTTTCAGAAGGCTGACATTGTTTTACTCCTGGTACATCAAAGCCTGCTCAAATTCCCATGTGCTGCCACATCATTTGCAGATTTTCCCAGAAACCCTTTCCCTTAACAGCTCATCAACTTGTCACAATCAGGTTGGGTTTTGCAGGTTGGGGGAGGAAGTAGTGTCAGTGACAGCAACAAGAGCCTGAAAGTTTATCCAGTCATAACAGTGAGCGACTTCTTTACCATAGCTGATGTTATAGTATCTCTGTGACACACGCTGACTCAACATGTCCTGTTGTAAGATCAAATAAAACGTCCACTTATTTAACAACTGCTCATGCTGGTGTTGTAAATGTTTAAGAGTGATGTCACTGGGTGGCGTCACCGTTTGCGGCTTGGTCCAGCCCTGCAGAAAGAGACAGTCATCCACTGACATTTCATAGTAGTTTTGGTGATAAGACCCTCCAGCTGTTTCTCCATAATTTTTAATTTCTTATCATCTTTGTCTCTTGTCATTCCCTTTGTCTTCATCCTCCCTTTATCTCCCAGCACACCGTGTGGTGTTAGCAGCAGGTGGGGACTATTTCCGGGCGCTGTTCTGCGGAGGGTTACGTGAGTCCAGTGAGGACGTTGTGTGCCTGCGAGGCGTAGCACCCCAGGTCATCGAATCCATACTTGGCTTCATCTACTCAGGTCAGCTCAGACTGGGCTGGAGCCAGATTTGGGAGCTCACAGATGCACTGCTTCAGTTCCAGCTGCAGGGGGCGCTCTCGCTGTGCATTGACTTCCTGCGGGACAGAATGGATGAAAGCACCTGTCTGGATGTGCTGGTCCTGGCTGAGACCTATGGACTGGTCCAGCTGGGGCAGGCTGCAGGGGAGTACATCTTAGCCCACTTCCAGTGCATCTCTGCTGAGGAGAAGTTCAAGGATGTCCCCTATTCCTTCCTGGACAGGTTGCTTGAGAAGGACTCATTGTGTGTAGAGAGTGAGGTAATAATTTTATCGCTGTCTGTGACTCATCCTCTTGAGTCTTAATACCTGTAGTTTGGCAGATTAACCTCAATTTGAATGTGAATCATACAAAATGAGCATGTGCTTAGAAACTTGATTGGAAGCACACACATTTGTGTTTCTGTGTGGACTTAATTTGACTTAAATATTGTTTATGTACTTAATAATAGTTAACTACTGTATTTAAATATTTTTTTAAGTTATGGAAAGCAGGTATTTGCTCTAAACAATAGTTCATAATAGATCTCTAATATGTAACTAATGTTCACAGTAGTGAGTTGGTACAGCTTTATATTGTTGGTCATGGCACATCATTCCTGCTAGTAACTCTGCAAAGTATTTGAGAATCTGCCACTTTGGCTCCATCTGCTGGTTTATACAAGAATGACCTGTGGCAGGCAACAAATGCTGGCTCCAGCTTCTGAAGTGTACAGAAGCCAAGAGAGGCCATGTTTCCAAATATTTTTGTAGCACCATTATTGAGATCACTTTATCTTGAGATAACAAAGCTTGTTTTATAGTAGCCTTAAGGTGTCATCCTGTGTCTGCTGTTGATGTTCCAAGACGCCACTACCAATGCTGAGATGTCACCAAAAGCATGAGGTTAGGTTAAGAAAGAAACATCACGGTTTGGCTCTACATTCATTCAAGAAGCTAACATCGGCTTCCTGGATGAAAGTGCGAGTTTGTTGGCCCCATCCACCCTAGTGATGGCCAAATGAAGCCTCATGAACCACTTTCTTTATTTTCTGACCCCACCAGATCGCACTCTTGGTTTAAAGATAAAGGCTGAAGGACTTGCAATGAAGTGTGCTTTCAAGCCTTTGTTGAACAGACAGCGCCATCTGGTGGGGTCAGAAAATAAAGACAGTGGTTCATGAGGCCTCATTTGGCCATCCCTGTCCACCACCCCTCCTGTCCACCCTACAGGGACTTTCCAGCTTCTTAAATTATGTTGTTAGTGGCAGCATTTCAACCTGACGCCATCCAGCGATGTAACACAGCTGCGACAGGTGCCATCTGGCAGCGTTATGAATTGATGCTGTTTGTCCGTGTATTATACTGCCATGACAGATGCCATCTGGCCGACCAGTGGCACATCATAACACCGTGAAAGGTTACATCTGGGCATGTTACAAACTGACACTGCCCAGGGGTGTATCATACCACTGCAAAAAGTGGCATCGGGTGGCATTAGGTGTCTGACGCCAAAATCACTGACAAAGCAGCGGTATTTGATGACTTCAGAATGAGAATAGGCTTGGCAGACACACCTAACTGACATCAAAGAACTAGTGGCAATGAAGGACAACTGTTGTGTCGGCTCACGTTGCCTTTGTCTCGACCAGAAATTTGTATCTGAGCACACAGCAAACACTACAGGCAACGGCAAACTGATTCAATTCCAGAAGGCTAAATTGGCCAAAAAAAGCTGACTAGAGCCGATGAGAGCCAACAGTACGGGACACACTGCAAAAATCAGGGCAGTAGACCCTCATCAATGGTCCAACATTGACCGACGGCTGAACATTTGCTAGGTGCGTAAGGGCACTTCTTTAATGTCGATTCTCAGTAAAACAAAAGGTGAATTTCTTGAGATAATGAGAACTTTTATGTTTTTCAGATTTTGAAAATGAGTGTTTTTTGATCACACCTGAATCCAGCCTTTAAGATCACTGTCATGACTGACGAGGAAATTTAAGAAACTAAGTCAAAGCATGAATGTGTAGCATGAGAGGATCTCTTTTAATTTCATAACATAAATGCTATAATTTGGGGACTTTTAACTGTTTTTGAGACAAAATGCTGGACTTCTTACTATATTAACATTTTTTAAAATAGATGAGTTGATTTTTTCCAAATGTACACATCATTAAAAACAGTTATATCCTGTAAATACTCCTGTAATACTCCTGTAAATCCCTATAAGTTTGTGAATCTGAGAAGCAGGATTTTGTGGTTTCCTCAGTAATGTTGCGACCAATACCTAAGGAAACCATGATGTCTTCTATAATGTATTGTGACATGCTAATTCTTAAACCTTGAATTTCAAAAGGGAGAACAGGGAAACTCTGATAACACCAATTTCACTTCTTCCCACTCAGATGGTGGTGTTCAGGGCAGTAGTGAGCTGGGTGGAGGACAACCTTAAAGAGAGACTAGCAGTATTGCCAGGCCTGCTCCACCATGTTCGCCTCCCCCTCCTCAGCTACTCTGAGCTCCAGGAGGCCCTGAGCTGCAGCCTCCTCTGCAGGAGCCCTGGGGCCAGAGGAACGCTGCAGGCCCTCCGAAGCCTCCTGGAGGGGGATTACAGAGGACCTGAGTGCCGACCTCGCACCCCAAACCAAGTACTTATCATACCTTGCACTTTTAACACTTGACTGTTTTTCTCTAGATGTGGAGATTGTTAAAAAAAATTAAATTATCTATTATTATCTGAAAAAGAAAAGTCGGAGCACTCTTTTAAATGTTCTGTACAATCCTCTGTAGAAATACATTTAGTACTCATGCTTTAGAGATACCTCACACCTTGTTTTAGGTCCTGGTCCTGGTTGGTGGGGACACTGTCGATGATGAATTCATGAAGAGGGTTCCAAGCCAGACCTTGTGGTTCGCCGAGCGGTTCCATCGTGGACACGGTCTGATCAGAAGCATAGAGTGGAGGCCATTCGCCAAGCTCCCTGAACCGCCCCGGTTCAGGCACTGCGTCTGTCTCCTCAACAACAAACTGTACATCTTGGGAGGACGCAAGTACTACGGAGCGCTGGATATCCTCAAGTCTGCCTTGAGGTAGGATGTGTGTGGGTAGCAAGTAGAGCTGCTGGCAGTTCAGAATTTTGTGCCAAACTCTCAATATCTTCAAATTTGATTTAAAAAAATGTAAATATTTCAGGTTTTTTGTGCAAAAAAAAGTTTTTGTCAGGGTCAAGTCTCTAAAATGGCAATGACACATGGGGGACCCTGAAGTTCTTGACAGGGGCTTCCTATACACTGGAAAAATAATGGACGCAATACCATGATGTCAACCATTGGTTTGTGGACTGACGTTTTGAAGCCTCGAGTTTGGCATTTCAGCCGTCCCCATCTTGGTTTTTTGAAGCCACAAGTGACCATATTAGGTTGAGAGGGTGCAGCTGTGGAGGAGCGAGGGCTGGATCTGACTGACAAGCTGAGGACACGATCGGCAGACAGTCTGTCACTCAAAGCGGTCCACCATTAATTATGCATAACTTTAAACCTTAATCAAATGTACAGGGGTGAGTTATATAAAAATTCACCCTTGCACTGTTGTCATGAATGTTTAAATTAGCTATAGAGACCAAAAGCGTTTTTTGAACCAGGCTGGTTTATTTCTGCTGTAAAGTTGGGCATTTTAACATGGGGGTCTACGCTGTAAACCCCAATCCATCCATGACACAAAATTCTAATATGAAGTCTACACAAATGCCCCAGATTGTCAAAATGACATAAAAACTTTATATTCACTTGACACAAAAACTCATCCCTTGTGAGCTTGAAATAATTTTTTTGAGTTAAAGTGACTAACATTTATCAAACTTATCTCGCCTAAATAAACAACACTCTGGTTGTGCACTCAACATATTGTGGCATGTTGGGACTAAATGAGTCAAGTTTCCCAGCATGCCGTGAGACAATGTGTGTAAGGCCATAAGCTGAAGAAAACTGTTTAAGCGTGTTCTATATTACTCATGTTACCCACTACGCAGTGATTAATGTTTAGGTATTTCACAATGGTTCCAATGGGTTACAGTTAATGTTGTGGTATAAAGACATTTTGCACCATGAGTTAAATCGTTTACAGTCAGTGATGTCTGGATGTGTGGAAATTAGAGCTGAGTTAAGGTGAAGTATAAAGAACTTACTTTGTCAGAATTCATCTCTTTGCCTTAAAGGATAACTTTGGTATTTTTCAACCTGGATTCTACTTCCCCATGTGTACGTGTGCGTATGATTCATAGGTACAACTCATTTTAAAATTGGTTCAGTATTGAGGGAGGCGGATGCAGCCGGCAGCCGTGAAACAAGCTAAAACGGTAACGGGGGCAAATGCGTTCTGTATAAGTTTACGCATTAAAAGTGCTTTTTTTCGCTACTGACCGGTTCAGATCGCCAGTGCTATCTCTGTAAACAGCATACTAAGCGTTTCCCTTACCTCTGGGCTACGTGACATCATCTCGCGAGAACTTTGCTTGTTGCCGGAAGAAAACAGAGGAGCCATGCTGAGCGCCGCTCACAGTGGCTCTGGTTGTCCCGGAGTACAGTTGAGAGTTTTACTGCATCGATTGAAAACAATGGTCCATGTTTGTGCTTATCCGAATTTTAAGAACAGGATGTCGCGCAACACCCCGTACAGCTTTCATAGGCTGCCTTTGTCAGAGGGCGAGATGCTGAAGTTGTGGCTAGTTGTGCTACAAATGGATGCTAACACTCCTGTCCAGACACTGCGCCTTGCAGACCATCGGGTCTGCAGTGCTCACTTCTCCCAAGATGACTACTGCCAGCCGAAGAAGAGAAGACATCCAATCCCGAAACACCTCTTCCTCAAGAAAACGGCTGCCCCATGGTTAGAGAGAGCTACAGACACAGTGGAGGTAATGTTATATAAACAATGTTCGAAACGCTTAGTATGCTATTTACAGAGATAGCACTGGCGATCTGAACCGGTCAGTGGCAAAAAAAACACTTTTGATGCACAAAATTATACGGGACGTATTTGCCCCTGTTACTGTTTTAGCTTGTTTCGCAGCTGCAGGCTGCATCCGCCTCCCTCAATACTGAACCAATTTTAGAACGAGTTGTACCTATGAATCATACGCACACACACACATGGGGAAATAGGGCCCAGGTTGAAAAATACCAAAGTTATCCTTTTTGATCTCGCTCACGACAATGCATAAAATTTCTGTAAGACAAAGGTCATGTGACCAATCACTTTGTGGCTAGTGTACTCAGAAGTTTAATGTGACTGTATTGTACTAAACAAAAACTTTTGAGTGCAAACTGTTTTCAAAAAAAAATCGAATTTGATTCAGCGAATTGGGGTTTACGGCGTATGGGGACTGACTGGCTTCCAGAGCCAGCCCACAAGTGGCCATTAGAGGAACTACAGTTTTGGGCACCTCTGTGTTGGCTTCATTTTTCAGCCCAGGATGTTGCTGCTTGGGGCTTCCACCAACAATTATTTTCAATATTGATTAATCATCTGTTATGTTTTCTTACTTTTATTGTTAATCAATGAATTGTTTGGTCTCTACGGAAGCTTATTGCTGCCACACCAGGAAAAAAAGAATGGGTCAGTATTACGTTATAACGTGAAAAGTTTATTGTTCTAACAAGAAGTTTGAAACTTTTCACTTTTAACTTTTTACGTGAAAATATGTTGTTATAACGTGGAAATATATTGTTATAATATGAAAAACTTCTTGTTAGAACAACTTTTCACGTTATAACGTAATACTGACCCATTCTTTTTTTCCTGGTGTGGCAGCAATACGCTTCCGTAGGTCTCTAATAAGTAAGAAAATAGTGAAAAATTCTGTCAGTTTATTAGACCCCAAAATAAAATCTTCAAATAGCCTGTTTTTGTTAGACCAACAGTCAAAAGCTCAAAGATATTCAGTTCAATATGATGAGAGACTAAGAAAACCAGCATATACTGAAAATGGACTGCACTTGTCTAGCGCTTTTCTAGTCTTCTGACCACTCAAAGCGCTTTTACACAACATGACACATTCACCCATTCATGGGTGGCTGAGGTTACCATACACAGTGACACCTGCTACTCAGTAACCACAGTCGCCCAACATTTGAGAAACTGGATCAAGTGAATTTTTGGCACCCTGTGACTAACATGTCAGCTTTACTCTTCACAGACACAAACACTAAGAGCATAATTTAAGGGTTTAGCAGACTGTTTGGACAGGACACACCGCAACATCTTCTCAATTACAGGGAAAGCTTTAAAGATGCTGGTACACTGTGAAAAGATATTAGGATACAGCAGGAGATTTGGTCCACCTTCTTCCCAACATGCCTGCAGCTTCAGAGCCTGGCCCTGTAAGTCGCAGGGCTGATTCACCCATAGCTGCAGGGTTGTGATGCAACATCCTCCTGCAGAGCTGCTGATGCTCAGCTCGGCAGAAACTTTTCTTTTGATGTGGGCAGTCCAGGGCTTTTGTTTACATGGGTAAAATTTTGCACACATTCTCTTCATCTTGCTGTGGAACAATTATGTGTCCCCTCTGTGGACCCTGGCATGGCCCAGGTGTTTTCCATCAGCTGCTAATTATGAGTCAGAACCATCCTCTGGTGTGTGGTGTCAGGGGTGATCCTCCAGTCTTTTGCAACACCCAGCTTGATGTTTCAAAAGGTCACAATTTAAAACTTGAACTTTGGCGAGCGCTATTAAGAAGTAGGAAATTAATCAACATCAGTCACTGTCACCCTCAGATTACGCACTATACACACTTACAATAAAACAGTTGTTAAGTTGTTGTTGCAATAAAGTTTTATCTTCTATCAGAGTCCTGCTCTGCCTCTCTGCAGGTTTGACCTGTCTCAGTGTAAATGGGAACGACTACCTGACATGCTGTGTCAAAGGGACTACTTTTCTGCTGTGTGTCTGGACGGTAAGGTCTTCGCTCTGGGGGGTAACCGTGACGACAGCCAATACCTGGACTCTGTGGAGTACTACACGCCTGAGGAGAACACCTGGAGGTACAGTATAACACTGAAGGAGCTGTACTAACAAAACCTGAAGAGGCAAGCATGTCTGAGCTGTATTTTAGCACTTAAAGGGACAGTCCACCACAAAGTCATATACATATTCTTCCTCTTACCTGTAGTGCTGTTTAACAGTCTAGATTGTTTTGGTGTGAGTTGCTGAGTGTTGGAGATATCGGCCGTAGAGGTGTCTGCCTTCTCTCCAATATAATGGAACTAGATGGCACTCGGCTTGTGGGAAGGAAAGGCAGCTTTAGTTGTATAGCATATTTCATACACAAGGGCAAAGTGCTTTACAGAGCAATAAAATATAACACAAGTTGAATTCAAAATTCAACAGCAGCCTGAAGCAAGACTGTACCACAGTGGTGGACACAACGTTCTGGAGAGGAGATCCAGTGTTTTATACTGCAGGGTTGATTACTGGATGGTTCTCAGGTGAGCAGCAGGGAGCAGGTGAGTTGAATGGATGTAATCAGGAACTTGGGAGAGTGAGGGAGTTGACGCCCACAGCACAGACACGCAGAGAGACTGACAGGGGAAGGGGAAACAGAGGACAAGGAAAAACACAGAAACTAGTGACACAACCAGCATTGTGACAGGCCAAGTGGAAGCTTTTAGCATAACAAAAAAAGCGTATTTCAAAAGTTAACTTGACGATCAGACACACAATACTTTATTTGAACTTGGAGGCCAGAACTGACATTCCTGAACACAACTTTTATTTTACCCTAATTGACATACAGAAACACGTTAAATTATATGTGAAAACAAATCATCCTCAAAAAATCTCAGAAGAAGAACATGTTTAAAACAATGTGGAAAAAAGTTCTACTTCATTTTTAAAGGGTGTCCCAGGTGTACGGAGCCCAGAGGTACAGAGGAAGTCTTCACAGAAGAGATTCAGGCAAGGCTCGCGCTGGTGCACGCTCGGGCACGGCACCTGCGCTCTCTCATTGGCTGGGGTAATCTCTGCCTAGAAGTTTTCTGAGCTCACATAAACTTCAAAATACAGTTAAATGGTAGGAGTTCTGCAAACAGAGTCACCACCACACATGAGTAGAAGCCCATAGGTGATGATTAAGCAGGATTTCATTTGTATATGTCTATATTTTGTTTTGTTTGAAAATCCTCCAGATCCTACCTTTAAAGCTACAGTACTTAAGGGGCCGCACACATGCCGCGTTTTTTTGCGCCTTCAAATTTATTGTTTTTAATGTAGACGCATGGCAGACATGCTCAAATCCCAAAGCAACTCGTTTACAGCATGCACGCGTTCCTGAGCACCTACTTTTCAGGGTGTGACTAGTGATGGCCAAATGAAGCTTCATGAACCACTTTCTTTATTTTCTGACCCCACCAGATGGCACTCTTGGTTTAAAGATAAAGGCTGAAGGACTGGCAATGAAGTGTGCTTTCAAACCTTTGTTGAACAGACAGCGCCATCTGGTGGCTTCAGAAAATAAACACAGTGGTTCATGAGGCCTCATGAACTAGGTGTGATGGCTGCACCATGAGATAAACTGCACTCTTGAAGACTCTTACAGAAAAGGCACAATAGTAGCACCCAGCGCCTGACCTTGCATTTTCCAGGCGATTAAAGGCGCGGCATGTGTACAGCCCCTTGGAAGAACTTTGGGGGAAAGAGATGTTTATAACCTTTGATCTCTGCAGGCCGGCTCACCCTCTGGACACAGCTGTGTGCGGCCACGCTGCAGCTGTGCTGGACGGCCAGATCTACGTCTCTGGAGGCTGCGACCCCTATCAGCGCTGCCTTCCCTCCATGTGGCACTACCATCCTTCCCGTGGCTGTTGCCCAAGAGCGCCCATGACTGTCGGAGCGGGACGTGCAGGTCATATCATGTTAGCCTTGGGGAGGGGGTTGGTGGTAGCTGGCGGGCTGCAGCCACTCTGGATGGGCTTTGGAGACCAACTCCTCTGTGAGCTCTACAACCCCATGTATGACTCCTGGTCCTCCATCCCTGCCCTGCCTCGACCTCATCTGTCACCAGGGGCAACTGTACTTGATGGACGGTTATACATGGTGGGGGGATCCTCAGCAAACACAGCAAGAGATACCAAGTGGGTGCATCGCTATGACCCCATGGAGAGGTGCTGGGAAAACCTGGGGGCCATGCCACACCCGTACACCGATCTGGCAGCTTGCTCCCTGCCACTTCCTCAAGTCTTTTGAAGTTTTTCATTTGAGCGCTGGTTTATTTTCTTGTCTGGCTTAAGAAATCCCAAGGAGCAATCATTACCTCTGCTAATGAGGTAATGTCCTAGGTTTGGTTTGTTTGTTTGTCTGTTTGTCAGCAAGATAACTGATTTTCATGAAACTTGGTGGAAGGGTGAAGCATGGGCCAAGGAAGAGAACATTACATTTTGGAGTGGATCCAGATCTTTTATTTCCAACTGTTTCAAGTCTTTATTTGTCATATATTACAGCACAGTCTTCCGTCAGAGGCTACGGTTACATTCACACCAATATTAAGAACTTGATGCAGCTAGGCCTTTTTCAGAATGTAGCACGTGATTAAGATGTTGGATATGCTGGTATTATTCAGAGTTTAATTATTTGGGCATATATACAGCTAATTCAGAATACGCAACTCAGTTGGGGGTTTTACCACAGTTTGTGACACACGGCCTCTCATCTGTCTATGGATACGTTGTACACAAACTAACTCATCAACAGTTTGCAAGGCTGTGGGGTAGAGATGCACGCCAAAAAGAAAAGCCCACATCTCTGGTCATAAGAAGAAAAATGCTTTCTTTAAAACTTTATGAAAGGATATCAACATGTTTTATTAATTCATTCATTCATTTCTGTAACTGCTTATCCTGTTAGAGGTCGCGGGGGGGCTGGAGCCTATCCCAGCTGACATTGGGCATGAGGCAGGGTACACCCTGGACAGGTCACCAGACTATCACAGGGCTGACACATAGAGACAGACAACCATTCACACTCACATTCACATCTACGGACAATTTAGAGTCACCAATTAACCTGCATGTCTTTGGACTGTGGGAGGAAGCTGGAGTACCTGGAGAAAACCCACACTGACACAATGAGCAAAATGACAAGCGGCTTCAGCTGTTGTGCTTTTCCATATTTTGACATAATAAATGACATGTTAGGGTATGTTAATCGGGGTACACGCAGCTACATGTAAACAGGAATATTAGTAGATTTCATTTTAATCAGCCATGTAAACAGCTTACACAACAAATACAACATGCTAACATTATTAGCACAAGCCTAAGGCATTTTACATTGTATAAATTAGCCTAGCAGCTAGCAGACTTTTCCTCTGCTCAAATGAAGCCAGGATAAATCACACACAAGACTTAAGCTTGTTGCTCCTCAGGAAATAGTCTGTACCAGGCAGAGGCCTGACTTAGTGTTGTGGTCAGTGAGTCAACAGATAGTTTATTTCATTGAGCTGACAGTTCCTTGGGAAGACTCAGTGGAAGAAGCCTATGAAAGAAAAAAGCTTAGATATGCAGACTTAGGAGCAGAAGCTGAGCAGCGAGGATGGAAGACTAGGATTTGTCCAGTGGAAGTGGGGTGTAGGGGATTCATAGCAAGATCAACTGTCTCACTCCTGGGGGAACTCGGAGTGCGGGGACAGAGTTTGAGGACGACAGTGAGGGAAATGTCAGATGAAGCAATTAAATGCAGCCAGTTTATCTATTACAGAAGAAATAATGTCAGCTGGGGGCCAGCAGGGGGAACTACTAAGCAGGGCACATAACTCCTTGAGATCAGGTGGAGAGATTCACTTCCTGTCAGGAGAAATCCAGGAAGAGGAAGTATTTAAGTGTGGGAGTGGCCTATTTGAATCCATTTTGTTTGAGACCATGCTGCAAAGTGAGTGTGTTTGCTGATCCTGTGAGTTCATTTATCTCCTTTAACTTTAGCTTACATTGTAGTTATGCTATGTAGCGTGTGAAATAGAGTATGGTGAATGTGCTAGTAAAGGTAGTATCAGCATTGCTTCTGCCTGGAGCTCGCATGTACGGAGCCTGGGTTTGGTTGAAGGTGGCAGTGCTGTTTAGGCTGAGATCACTGTCCAGCCTCCTGGAGGTGTCATTGTTGTGAGGGCTCGTCCTGGGGAGGTAGACTGTACAGCCTAACCCAGCGGGGGAGTGTGATAGCCTAACAAGGCTTCCTTCCCTGGGTCTACCTCCTCTGTGGTAGTATAGGTAAGGTAAAGGAGGTTGTTCGGTTAGTGTGGGGAGCAGTGAGAGCTGGCATTAGGGGAGTGTCTCTGGGACGCCAGAGATCACTGTCTAGCCTCCTGGAGGTGTCGTGGGACCAACTAGACGAAACACCAGTGAAAGGAGGTTCCCACCTGATGACCCCAAAGACATGTTAGTTATCACTGCTCACTGGTCTGTATAGTTAAGCCTTGCCATAATAGCTTATCGTAGGGCTTAGGAGGATTATTCACTGAGCGCTGATCCTTTTTTTTTTTTTAGAGCACAAACTTCTTGTGTTTATTTGAATTGAAAATGCTATTTTTGTGGAGGCTTTATTGTCTTCACAATTTATTGTTTCTTATCTGTGAAATTAAAATAAATATAAAGCTTTGTTTCCACTGAGGGAAATGGTTTCAGCTTACAGAAACAGACATGAGGTCTGTGTCACTGCAACATGTAGTTACATTTCTGGGGAGGTGCACGTCAAGCTACGTGGTCGATTTGATGCCTAGGAATAAATCTCGCTTTATCGCTTAAAAGTTCAGTTTTTTTATGTCAGTTGTGCATCCTACCACAAAGCAGCTTTTAGGCATTTTGGTGTTGTTTGCTAACAGCCGTAAATGAAAAGGAAGCACCTTAAAGGGATAGTGCGCACATGTGAGCTCAGTGTACAGACAGGCGGTTAGAGCTACAGGCTACAATGAGGCTAAAAACAGAGTTCAAATGACGTTTTTCCAAACAACTTTTTATGTCGGGGCTTCAGGACACTTGGATCACTGCGGACGAGCAGTGAGGAGATATTTTGTGGTTTCAATTATATGTTTTTGGATGTTTTAATCTGGGGTACCGTCAGCCTGCATTAGGTGGAGTTGTGTTGCTACCCCCTCTCCCCTGGGATCTCCGCAAGTGTTGTGAGGACTCTAAAACTTCACCTGAGCCTTGCTCGGCATATGGGTGAGTAGATAATGGCTGAATTTTCATTTTTGGGTGCACTATCCCTTTAACACCATACAAAGTCAATGAGAGCAATAAATTGTTTTCCCCTCCAGTGGTGGTGGGACTTAAACACACTCTTTTTATACTAGGTGCTAAAAGTCAGGATATATAAGCTATATAAGCTTCAATGTTGACAATGATTTTCCACGTACGGCTGCAGCAAGACTACCCATCGGATCGGAAAGCAACAAGTTCAAACGTTGGATCAAGGAGGCTATAGAGATCAGGAGGCGGGCCAAGAACACCATCAACCAGGATGAGGGGGCTTTCATGCTGTCACACACCTGGGACTCTCTCCTACAAAGAACACCCGGCGGCGGGGGGCGTGACCAGCCTGGCAATCCGATTTGCCAGGCTGGTCACGCCTCCGGGATACTACCATCTAATAAAGACACATCATGACGCACATCAGATGACGCTTCTGAAGAAGACTGCAGTGACAGTCGAAACATGTCAAGATAAACTACATCTCCTTAAAAACTCATTGTCTGAAAAAAAGAAACCTTTCTACACTGAGCAAGACTACCCCTTTGAAAAAGAATTGGGCAGAGTTGAATTTGTATACTCTTCATTGCGCTAATTATGCATCCTGTTGAGTTTAATCTTACTGTACCAGTCGAATGTTAAATTAGGTCAAAGCTATCTAAATGTTACCCGGTAATCCGGCGGCTATGCTTCACGCACCTAATCAGCAACTGACGTCAAATAAAACTTGTGTAAATTCCAAGTGCGTGAATCCTTTTTACCATGTAAAACTTAAGTCGACCACTTCAGTCCAAAGTGACGCTAAATGAGGTCACAACCACAACAAGTCTGGTGCTTTTAGCAACAGTTTTGTCCTATTTATCTGTTCAAAAACAGCTTCCTGTCGACAGTGAAGTCAACTACAGTCAGAACTGTGTGTGTGTTGGATGGGTGGGTGTGAGGGAAATAAAATGAACGCCTGTATTTTATTCTTTACCTTCTTGTATTTCCCTTTCTATAGAAATCTAATATCCTTGGCCTACAGTTTTACTTTACAGTCTCAAAGTCTCATGTTTTTGGGACTGAGACTAATAACTCAAAATCTGCAAATGTCGCAAAAGAAGAAAAACAAAAAATATATGTTATTTGAGTTGTTGCATGACCAAAAGTGGTCAATTTCCTGAGTCATGTAAGGTCATAAGTTGAGTAATGAGAAAAAAAAGAGGAAGTTTAACAGATAACAAACTAGAAATCGAATGACGCAAACTGATACTGTAGCTCAGAACATATAAGTCCTCTTTGGCTTTTTCACTGATCTAATCATGCTGCGATGTAATGGAAACTAGTCAGTGATTGTCGATAAGAGTTCCCAGACAAGCTGCTTCTTTTTTTATGAGCAAACTTTTTGTTTTGGTACTTCTGCAGATGCTCAGAACAAACAAGGAAAGTCAGTGCAGTATCATAACAAAAAGATGAGATAAGAGTTTTCTTGTTCAAACAACAGAGCTGCTTTTATGCTTCTGAGATCCGAACTTTTGTTTGGTATGTTTCTTTAATTTCTCCCAGCTATCTGGGATCAGCAGGACATGATTAGTATAAAAAACGAAATGTTCTCAATGATAATTAAGTCCCAATGTCCTCAAATGAGCACTTCCCAATTAATAGTGTCTTATCTTGTTACTGTTGCTGAAATTGGTCAAATTTGTTGCCATATCAAACTACAAACATGATTAATCATAAATAAAGAAGTTCTAACCATAAAATGTGATCAGGTTTTGGACCTTGTCCTCTTTTGTGTCTGGATCAGCAGAGGTTAAATCATCTTATTGGGACTCCACTGAGCTTCGATCTGGTAAAGTTTTGCAAGTCAAACCTGAGTATACAACTTTACCAAGAGCAACTCTTCCTAATTTTTGTATCCTTTATTTAGCCAGTAGAGCCTATTTAGATTTCCAGGAAATCATGGTGAAGATTGGCAGCACAATCAGTTTCACTTCAAAATATATTTCATCAAGTAAAACATACAGTATATAGAAGCAACACATACAGGTAAGAGGAAAAATATGTATTTTTAATTATGGCCCTTTGTCTGGCAGAAGCATCCGTAACACCACAAGGTCTAAAGTGTCCAAAGAATTTGTTGTCAGACGACTGTTTTCAAGGTCATGAATGCACCTTTACGTTTAAGATTTATCACAGTCTTTGAAAGCTCAGAAGAGGGCTGCTTGATTTTAAAAACATAATTTATATTGCCTTTTTTTCTGTTCTTTAAATGGGTAGGATTCCTAATTATTATTAGAGTGACACTTTGCCCAGAAAGTCAGTTTGCTGCAAGTGGCGTAAGAACAAAATGGACAAGCAGGGACACTGGCACATGGGCAAAAGGCATTTTAATTAAGGGAAATGGGATCGTAGTATCATTTTAATACAATACAGTAAGTTTTTGCTTTAGGCCCACGGCCCACCATTAAGTTTCAGTTTTGGCCCTCCAAGTGAAAAGGTTTGGGCACTCTTGGCTTGTGACAACTATATGAAGATAGAGTGTGTTGACCTCTTTAGATGAAGGGTTTTGACATTGTTGAACCTCTGTGGCACTAGGCCTCTTGGTTGCTACAAAGCAGGAAGTTTACACTGTTACAATACCACCAGCATTTTGTAATCATCCTGTATTACAGTTGTGTCTCATAAATGTTCTCATGCCAAGATCTCTTGATGTCCATTCAGCATTTTTAAATGTGACTCACGCTTCCTGTAAAATATTTCCCCTTTTTGTCTTTTGCTCAGTTATATCAAAGGAAATGAGTGGTGAGCTATGAGCCTTTAAGGAGATTAAGCACATAAAATCCTGTAACGTGACTGTTTCAGTAGGGTGTTATGTAATAGTGGACAGAGGTGATGCAGGAAAGAGTGAAAGAAAGCACGCATGGATGAATGCGTCTTACAATATGTAATGATTTGTTCTTGCAGCTGAACGTTGCAAAATGAAAAGTCAGTTAATTTTGCAAACAGGAACTCCATGTACTCTTTTGGACCTTTTTGACAAATACACAGCAGCAGAAATGTAATATTATAAAAGCTTTATTAATCCTTTAAAAAAACCTGGAGCGACATCACTTTTCTTGTGCTGCTTTCAGATGCCTTTCACAAGTATTTAAACAATTTTTGAACCCTGAGCAAAGCTGAGCAAATAATAATAATAATAATAATAATATCATAAATAATGATTTTATCTTTTTTTCTTTTTTTTTAAAACTAGGGAAAAAAGTAAAGAGCTATAGAAAAAATGTAATAATTATAATAATTAATTAATAATTATTATTATTAAATTAAAAAAAAACTGTTACACAATTATTATAATTATTATATTATATTTATATATTTTAAGCACTCCTTTCAGGTAATTTCCTTGTTTGTTTTTTTATTACTAATTTTCTTGTTTTTTCTCTTTTTACCAGTTTCTTGCTAATTTATTGGGTCATTTTTTTCTTTTTCTTTCATTCGCTCATTGCCCTCTTTCCATGCTTTTTAAAGAAATCAGGCCAATTTGCTCAGGTTTCAAGGGGTTACATTAACAAACACAGTCTTTCGTATTTAATGACAAATGACCATACAAATTACAACAAAAAGCATGTGAAAAAATGTAATAATTTACATAGCAAAGTATACATACAGAACATTAAAGTCAGTGCCGTACAAGTCGAACATTCTTTTAGGCGTATAAAAAAACATGGCTCAAAATCATATAAAATATACAAGCAAATGATTATAATTTTGTGCGTTTCTGGGCCGACGATGCTTTTATTTAAAACAAGCATGGTAGCGGCTCTGTAAAGCTATACATCAGCAGACTGGTGCTTTGAGTTAATGTTCACCATCTTAGCTTAGCGTGTTAGCATGCTAACATTGCATAATTAGCACTAAACACAAAGTACAGCTGAGGCTGATGTGAATACCATAAGCTTTGCAGATATTTGGTTACAACCAAAGCACTGGACAAGTTGGAAATTAGACTTGATGGTTCACCCTGAGGGGAGCATGAATGTGAGTGCCAAATATCATTGCAGTCAATCCAATAGTTGTTGAGGCATTTCATTCAAAACCAAACAAATGCTAATCTGGTGGCCCCACGGGAAATTTGAGGGGATGACCACAGTCATTCATTTGAAAGAAAACTTTGACCCTCTGGTGGCAAAGTCATTAGGATTCATCCTCTGGGGATAGGGCTGACCCGAATGCTTCAAGGATTCAAAGCTTCAGTTATTGCCATAGTAATCAACGTCCAGACCAGTATTCAAATGCTTCAATTTTTGTTTTGTTCACCGCTAAAATGGTGGAGGAAACTTTGCATCTGGTGATGGGGCCAACCCACAGTGTTCAAGTTATTAATAACTTACAGAAACATTGCTTACAATAGTCCACCTTCCACCTTCTCCTTCTTCTCCATCTATCACTCTCTCTCTCACACACACACTTAGTGGCGCTAGGTCCTACTAAAGTTGGCTCTGGTGCAGGTGGTTGATTAGCCTTTATGATTATGATTGATTCATGGGTGATTATAACTGAAGCTTCACAGTCTCTAAAATGGTATATTGGACAGCCCTACTGGGGATTTTGAGTTTTTCTACCAAATTTCATGGAAATCCATCTGATCGTTGTTCAATAATCTTCCTGGATATAAAAGTTATGTATAGAAAAAGGTCATAAATACAAATTTGGAGTCAACAAAGTCTGTATAATTCATTAATAAAAAAGTAGTCCAAAGAAAACAGCTTGCATTTGGAGGAGAGCTTAAGTGCTGTACTCTGTCTGGTCAACACTGGCCATAGTCTTGAGCTCAGGCTCGTCGACCTCTTTTCCCGCCATGCTGCTGCTCCTGTCCTTGTTCTTGCCTTTGAAAGGCCTTCCCAGTTTTGTTGATAGCGTGTGCAGGACAGAGCCATCATCCGGTGAAGAGCTGCTTGTGTGGCCGCCGCGGGTGAAAGTAGACGTGGTCCTGCTCTCTGAGTTTGTGGCCTCGAAGAGCTTACCCATGAAGCCTAGGCCGGCCTGGCGGATGTGGGAGCTGCCGGCAAACACGTAGAGTATGGGGTTGACAGCGCTGCTGAAGTAAGCAAAGGCTATGACATTTGGTCGGGCTGTTTTGGCAGCGGCCATCACTGAAGCACTGTCCAGCAACTGACCGACGACCTGGAGAATGGAGAGGGTGAGGAGATGTTAGAGAAAGGGAGGGAACAGAAAAAACAGCCCAAAAAATAAAGGTCCCCAAAAAACAGGCCTGGTCAAAATCATTGGAATTACCTCTTCTATAAGGGCTCAAATAAATTCAGCATGATGTACATTTCCACAACACTAATCCCAGAGCCTAGTCTCACTCTGAAGTCATTGAAATCCGGCACCTGGGCAGTGACTGGCGGCATCAGAAACCAGCGACAAAAGGCGTCCTTTAACGTCGGCTATGTGCCATAATAGTATAATGGCGCCCAGCGGCGAGACATGGGCAAACGTTAAGGCAGGAAAAAGTCCAGCTGAGGTAGGGATGGGTCCAACAAACAGATTTGAGAGAGAGTGGTGTTTGCATCCTTTAAAATTCTAAAGCCAAACCCTTTTCTTTTATCCTAAACCCAAACACGTGTTTCTTGTTTAATGAAAAAACAAGTTAATTTGTGATGTTGAACTGATGTAGTACATTTATTTTTAAAGAGACTGTACGTAAACGTTAAATTTCCTGTGAAAATGGAAGTGTATTCTGAAAGAAGACAATGCATGTAAGAGGCAGAACGTGACTCACCACGCTGTGTCTGATAGGTTTTTTCTTTAAGTAGAAACACTGTTCTCTTCTTCTACTTAATCACGCTCAGTTCTACGTTTCCCATTTTTCAGTTGGTGTTTAGCTACTGTCCATGAAAGTCACCATTTTCTGCAGCACTTTCACATTTAAAGCGATGAGGAAAGCAGGGGTGGTCTTGGATTGATTGCCAGTTGGCCCTGGCAACCAATGGATACATAGCCCAGTGGGCCAGCCCAAGAAAATATACCAATGGGCCAGACTACCTGTATTATTGGCCGGTCAGACAAAAAAAAAGGACAGTTGTGTCGGCCTGTAGGCACGTATGCCCACTGGGAAACTGCCCAGTATGCCAGATGGCCAGTCCACCCGTAGAGGAAAGGGAGGAAGTATGCGCTTTGAGACGCTTAAAGACTTTTAATATGGAATATCTGTGCAGGGAATGTTAGTTTGTGTGTCTACCAACAATTTGGTAGAAAAACTGTACCAAACAGACACATTCTCTAAATTGCAATAACCCGCTGAAACTCCTGGTCAGAATTCTTTCAGTGTTCATTGCTCATGAGGTTTTCAACCGTCACGGTGGGGCTGCCGATTACAGTGGCCAACTCAAAATGTGAAAACACGAATGTATGTGCAACTGTAGAAACATGGTGGTCTCCATAGATAAGGACCAACTCATTCTAAGGTAATGAAAACACAATTCTTGTTTTCAGGTGATTATACACTAAAGTAAACACACCTAATATATTATATTCCATTTCTGCCAATATACCCCTTAAATCCTACACGCTGGACTTTTTAAAAACAGTACTGTGTCTCTAACTTTACCTGTTATAACTCCTGTAAGTCAACATGCATTACAGTACTGCTAACCCTGAAAGAATTTTGATAACAACGATGATTTTAAAGGCAAATGGTCCAGGGACAATTTCCCAGAAGAAATGCCACATACTTGAATACTTGCCCATTGGCATCTAATGGAATCAGAAGCAGTTTCTAGCCCATGCTGGTCAAACAAACCTGTATGATGTTGACAATGTGATAGGGCAGCCAGAATACTGCAAAAGCACACATGATCAGCAGGATGAGGCGGCTGCCTTGTCTTCTGCGATTGAACTTGGCGCTTTTCAGACGGCAGATGATGGAGGCGGAACAGGTGGTGAGGAGGGAAAAAGGCACCAGGCAGCCCATGACGGTCTCAAACACGTACTGGAAGACTTCGTGACCCACGCTCCTCCAGTGGTACGGAATACAATAGTACAAAGTGACATTGTTTGATCCTAGTTTCCCCAGATTACTGTCAGAGAAGAAGAAGAGATAAAATACACAAACGGAAAGTTAATGTGGCACTAGATACACCAGCCAGAGACATAGCTAAAGGCTGTTTTAACTCAAGTCTGTAACAAGATGTTTAGTAAAATCTGTGACAATTGAGACAGAGAGAGGGATTCAAAATTACTCCTACGATCAGTTCAACTGTAAGTATTGAAGGTTATTAGTGACAAAGCTATAATGCAAAGTGTTACTGAAGCCCTGAGCCCGCAACAGCAAGCATGTCTTTAAAATCATTTATGGTAAGCACCTTAAGCCCGAGGCCATCAGGGCGCCTCACCTAATAGTTTGTTGTTCATAGAGTTCCCTTTTCATGCTGTCTGACCACGAGCGGATTATGAGACAATGGCCCCTGGGTACTGATATACAAAAGGTCCTATCATCTCTCCTACAAAAGAGCAAGACACACAGACTTTGTGGAGGGTTTGTGTCTCTTTGTAGTCATTATGGATCTTTTTGTAGTTTCTTTGAGGAAATTTTGTCTTTCTTGATCGTTTGGTGTTTCTTTGAACCAGCTGTGTGTCATCACACTGTGTGCAGATGAACGGTGTTTGGCTTCAACCTCGTGCCGCTGCCAGCACCAAGACCTCCACTGCTGGACAGGCAAGGCTCTACAGGGGAAGCCAAACATTGTTCATCTGCGCACACTGCGATGACACACAGCTCGTTCAATATCAGCAGAGTTTCCCTGCTTCCCTTCACTGGTTCCTGTACAGCAGGGTCCGTCTTTGTTTCCCTGTTATAATCATTAAAAAGCAAAAGCAGCATGTGTATACATTCAGTAGCCTATAGAGTGCCGAAGTCATGCCCCTTCCGGTGAAGCTCATGGGACCTTAGATCGGAAAAAATATGAATGGCAGTGAATGAGGAGAGAAGTATTATCTTTTGGTCCCGTTTGAGTTGTGACATGAAATCCAAATATGTCGTTAATGAATTTTAAACATACATTTTAAGGTCAAGAAAGTCATACTTTTTGGTAAAACTGTTGAGATATAAGCTTTTGAAAAAAACGTAATTAGAAAAACTACACAGGAGGCGGTTGCGTATGTGACGCCATAGCTTTCGCTCGCTTCCTGCAGCTTGGAGTGACTTCAACCTGGCACAAAACACACAGACATCTTCAATCATAAATCGATTAATCATAAAACAGTGGAATTTCAGCGGGGAGGCCAAGCTGCAGGAAGCGAGCGAAAGCTATGACGTCACATACGCGACCTCCTCCTGTGTACTCTTGAGTCTTTCTAATTAAAACTCTTATATCTCAACAGTTTTACTACAAAGTATGACTTTCTTGACCTTAAAATGTATGTTTTAAATTCATTAACAACATATTTAGATTTCATGTCGCAACTCAAACGGGAACAAAAGATAATATTGCTCTCCCCATTCACTGCCATTCATATTTTTTCCGGTCTAAGGTCCCATGAGCTCTACTGGAAGGGGCGTGACTTCGGCACTCTATATCTTCAGTAGCTAGCTAGCTAACCCTACACTTTTCAGGGTTTGATTTTGGAACAGGGAAGAAACGTATATCTTTTTCCAACCTCTCCAGGTAACGAGTATCATTAATACACGATGTGCCCCAGGCACAACATTTAGCTCCAAATCCACAAAACCAGCCTGGAAATGAAGGAAATCTGAAACGACTGCATTAGAGTCAATGGAGCACAGCTGTGTTGTTGTCGGCCTGATGCTACGTTATCACTGGCCAGTCTGCGTCCAGGGACAGGACTTAGGGAAAAGTCAATTTTGAGTCTCTTCTTGGTCAGTGTGTATTAATTTGAGTGACATTTTGTAGGTACAGCCCATTGACATTTTGGGACTGTAGGCCTCTGCCCGGTAGGCCCATTCAGTAATCCATCCATGAATCTGCCTGATAAACTGCATCAGGCTGTCTTTGAAAACAATGACAAAATAAAATCCAAAACATGTGACGCATCATATTTCCGATAACAGTTCATTTTGTTATGAAATTAAATGGCATACTTCTAAAATCTTTTTATCCTCTCACTTGTTGGTATTCGCCAGCAGAGCTACAAAATTACATCCGTATAATCTATGATCTAAAAAGTTCTGAATTGTGACTATGGGCCTTTCCCAAGCCACTCCCTCAACTCCCTCCCTACCCACTTCCTCTCTGTTTCTGCGTTCACAGGGAGGGTCAGCCACATTGAGTGCCATCCCAAACAAACTAGTGGGGAGTGGAAGTGAGTTATAAATTCCTACAACAGCGATCTGTACCCGTGCTGACTTATTGACCACACGCATAGTTTTTTTAAAAGATTATCTAACAGATTTTATGGACAAAACTTTTCTTAATTCCACACTGACAGACACAGATATCAGTTTGCTTGACTTCAGCTACTTTCACTGTGGCAGCAGCCATTAAAAATGTAGCTTTGTAGCTAGACCCATATGTACAAGGAAATTTTAGTCTCACCTGCGGTAGAAAGGCATCGGCAGCGACAGGATGAATGCCATCACCCAGACCACCAGCAGGAGAACCAACAGGGAGCGCTTGGTTCTCATTCTCTGGGACATAAAAGGCCTGGTTACGGCCAGCCAGCGGTCCATGCTCATCAGGCAGATGAGGTAGATGGACACATACATGTTCACATTTGACAGGTAATGCACCAGTTTGCAGGCTGCCGATCCAAACTCCCAGCCCCGACCTCCAGCCAGGTAGCGCAGGAAAAAAGGGGCACTGAGCAGCACGAAAGCATCCGCAATAGCCAAATTCACTATCAACAAACAGGTCACTGAGCGCTTCTTCACCTGGCAGGCCACGGACCAAACCACAAACAGGTTGCCGGGGAAACCCAGTACAAACGCCAGGGTCAGGATAATAATGCCGACCAGGTGGCTGATGGACAGAGAGGCGGCAGCGGCTGCGGCAGCGGTGGTGGTGATATTGGATGCCATCAGGAAAGCCTCTGAAGAATCTGAATTTGGCTTCGACACAGCTCTGAAACTGACACGACCTTTCAACAGAAAAAACAGGAAACAGGATATGTTGTATGAAGGTTTGTGAGACGTGAAGGTGTATAAATGCTGAGTAGCACTGCACTATTTTTTTTTGTTTCTTATCGTGTTACTGTATCTCTGTCTACACTACATATTTCTGTGCCATATTAGTTCTTATGGTGGACAGAAGAGCTGCCTGTTGTTAGATAAGCATAAGAGAAGTTGCAGGTCATGAGTTGCCTTCGTGGATATGGTAGGGTTTGATAAGTTTGCTAAGGCCTGATAAGTCCAACACGAAGGGGAGAGCTTTAAAATCTGATGCATTTTAAGTTCTAAAAATCAGTGTTTGGGAAATAGAAATTCATTGAAATGTTGAAATAAAAAGATCTCATTCTTTTCCTATACCTGCAAAAAAAAATTCATTTTATACTGCTTATCTTGTTGCTGACATCGGGCGAGAGGCAGGGTGCACCCTGGACAGGTCACCAGACTATCACATGGCTGACACATAGAGACAGACAACCATTCACACTCACATTCACACCTACAAACAATTTAGAGTCACCAATTAACCTGCATGTCTTTGGACTGTGGGAGGAAGCTGGAGTACCCAGTGAAAACCCATGCTGACATGGGAAGAACATGCAACCTCCACACAGGGTTCCCCATGGCTGTGAGGCGACATTTCACACTCCATACCGTGCCGCCCACTAATGTAACAGTCCTGTTTTACACTACATCATGACTAATAACTTTTAAATTTCTTCCAAATAAAATTTCTTAGCAAACTCTGTAATTTAAATATCAAATCAAGAACTTTTTCAGACTTTTCATTTTGCTTCTTTTTTTGTTTTTTTTTTTTAAAAAAAATGCTGCTGAGATTTCTGCTCCTTCTCTAATACTTGTGTGAAGAAATTAATTTTTTTGTCAAACTCTTCAGAGGAAAATCTATTTGGAAAATTAGGACAGTTTTGCCCTTAAAATACTTCAATAAGTTGAAAAATATAAGACTCACTGACCTTCAGCAGTTGACCTCTTCTGTAACAGTAAATCCGCTGCAAACGTTTACTGATATCCACCTGTTTTACACCTTGCCTGAGCTACTCTGAACTCCCAGGCTTCCCTCTTTGCTTTGGAGACTGTGTGTAGAGAGAATAACGAAAAAGTACATATATTGGGTAAGATGGTTCATGTGAGAGGAAACCCAAGACCACAGGAAGTCCGCTTGAGCTCACTGGATTGCGATATCTGTTCCTCCCACACATTTTATTCTACTATTACAGACTGATGCTGCAGGTATGACATGATACTGGTGCACAGATCAGCTTTGTGGTGAAAAATGTTCACACTGCAATGACGTCCTGTGAGGGGGACAGCAGCTAGGTCACTGGCAGAGAAATGCAGCGCGTCATCACTGAAGAAAAGAGTAGAGTGGATATCGTGGAGAGCCAAAACATGTTGTGAAACTGATGGCATCATTTTCAAGGAAGAGCAGGAATGAACAGCACAAGAGGTAGTCATGAGGGTGAATAAGTGTGTGTGTGTTTGTGTGTGTGTGTGTGTGTGGAGGGGGGGGGGTGTATTTCCAGTAAACTGTCAAGATCTTGTTGATACAAGAGTGTTAAATCATCTTGCACCAGACATCTTCGCAGATTTACCGCATATGCCCCTTTCCACATAACCCTACTTGCATAACAAAGTTGTAATGAGCGGGAGAGGTGCTTTACTTCATTTTGTATTTTTCTGCTTCATTTTATACTGACAGTGAAATATTAAAACTTTCCGGTGTAGGGTTTTCTCTTTAAAGCTTCATTAATACCATCATATTACAATAGATGACTGTGCAGGGGCGGAGGACTGAGCAGACAAAGGGTACGAATGTACAGGGTCAAAAGTTGCAGAGAGATCCGTGAAAAGTGCTTGAAATACTATTTTAAAATCATGATCACACCCAATCAAAAGGGACGTTCTCCAAATTTTAATGGTTGTATAAACAGGCCGAGAGACTGAACTTTGAAAAATTTAGTCTTGCAGGTGATTCGATGTCCCCCCTGTCCTCAAGTGCCGTCCTGGTCCTGACGAAGCTGTCTGATAAGCCATGTGTTTTCAGGGGAGGAAATCCTGTTTCCAAAAGACAAGAGGGATGCAGGAAAGAAAAAGAAAGAAGATGAGGGGAAAACCCCTCACCTAGTTCTTTCAGATTATAGATGAGCAGTGATTTGCTCTGCAATTTGATGCAGCAGGCAGAGTTTTTAGCTGGAACAGACAGTAACGTCTGCCAGCCTAGCCTTGTCAGCGTGAGTCAGTCAAAAGTTAAGGGTGTTGATAACAAAACTATGACTGAACAAGTTCTTCAGCACCCTTTTTTTCCCAAGACGATACGATGACAAGATGGTATCGACTTTATCAAACACTGAGATGAAACCAAAGGTTTTGTTGTTTTTTTTCACACTATGTCCCTTTCAGCCTTTCAAGTGGAGTCAGAGCAATGGGAGAGGTAGTGTAATGAAGGACTAAATGACTTTATAACTGTTCAGTTACTTTTTTCTGTGGCACAAAAATAGAATATATAACTACACCAACAAAAAAAAGAAAAGAAAGAAAGACACAAATATTTTAAACATTAGTATCGGCCAAGAATTTCAAAATCTGTGCATCTCTAGTTCAATTAGACTAGAGCTAGACCCTAGGTATCTAGACCCTTTGCAAAGTCCCGCCCCTGGACGCAGACTGGCCAATCATAACGTAGCGTCAGGCCGGCTCAGACCAGGGTCCCACGTTGTGCCTGGGGCACGTCATGTATTAATGATACTCGTTACCTGGAGAGGTTGGAAAAAAACATAAACGTTTCTTCACTGTTCCAAAACCAAAATCAGACCCTGAAAAGTGTAGGGTTAGCTAGCTAGCTACTGAAGATATAGCCTACTGAATGTATACACATGCTGCTTTTGCTTTGTAATGATTATAACAGTGAAACAAAGACAGACCCTGCTGTCAAGGAACCAGTGAAGGGAAGCAGGGGAACTCTGCTGATATTCAACCAGCTGTGTGTCATCGCATTGTGTGCAGTTTTACACTGTGATCTGTAGCCTATAGTTCGGCTTTAGCTTCTAACTATCTTTGTCTTTTTAACCTGTAGTTGCTGCTGAGTCAGTTTGACATCCTGGATATATCCTTCAAACACACACTGTAGACCCCTCTGTCTGCTTCTCTCTGGAATCACTGTTTCATTTTTCCAAAAAAACTCAGTAGCTCAGTCCATAGGGACTTGGGTTGGGAACCGGAGGGTTGCCTGTTAAAGTCCCCGTCCGGACCAAAATATGGAGCGTGGACTGGTAGCTGGAGAGGTGCCCCTGAGGAAGGCACCGAACCCCCCAACCACTCGGAGGGCCTGTTATGGGCAGCTCACTCTGACATCTCTCCACTTAGTGCATGTATAGGTCCTGTTTGTGCATGTGTGTGTTCGGACCTGTGTGTAATTGACAAACAGAGTGAAAAATTGAATTTCCCCTCGGTGATTAATAAAGTATATTAAAAAAAGAAATAAATTTTAAAGTATCAGTCCAGAATTTCAAAATGCATCCCTGGGTCAATTAGAAAGTTAATTTGTATATTTCATTATTATTTTAAAATGTCACATATTCTCTTATCTTTTATGGGACAAGACAACTAAAACTAAGAGTAAGAAAAACAGCTTACAAATTAACACTACCTATAATTCATACATTTGAATAATGGGGTGTTTGAGTGTCTTTCAGATCGTTGTTTTCATTTTACGGCCCACAACTTCACTGTTTTGACTCAGTCTCGCTGTTCTCAGTCACACAAGGCAGCTGTTTTTAGTACATAAAGCTCTGATAAACAAACTGTACACAACCTGCCCATCACCAAACTGCAGAGAGACCTAGCTAGCGACTAGCTATTAAAATAAGGTGAAGCATTTAGCAACTGAAAAGCCAAATATTTCCCTCGAAAGTTGTCTGAGACCAAAGAACAGAGCTAAACGGAGAACCAAGACTCCAAATGATTGCTAATAATGCTCTGTGTCCTCTGGACATGTGAGTTGACAACTGCTTACTAAGACAATCAGCACAGACAATGCACGTAACAGGCAGAACTTGACACGGTGTCCCAGAACGTCAACAACCAACGCACCCAGGGTACCGTTCACGTCATATCTGGACCTGCAAAGTTCATAACCGAATGTTGATATGTGACAAGGTTGGAATGAGAATGTGTTGATTTTAAAGCCTCGATTTTGGCATTTTGACCATGGCCATTTTGGATTTCTGCAACCAGAAGTGACCATATTTTCGCGAGAGGGTGGAGCTGTTGAGGAGCAAGGGGCGGATCTGACTCATAGACCACAGCGAAGCCTCACAGAGAACCTCACTCAGAGGCCACACCCTTTATTATGCATAATTTTAAGCCTTAATAAAATGTGAACAGGTGAAATATGTCTTAAGTAACCTCCCATCATGCAGGTGTCAGGAATGGGTAAATGGAGACCAAAACCTTTTTTTTGTACCAGGCTGTAAACATGTTTATTTCTGCTCTTAAGTTGGGTATTTTAACATGAGGGTCAATGGGGACTGACTCACCTCTGGAGCCAGCCCAAGTGGCCAATAGAGGAACTGCAGTTTCTGGCACTTCCACATAGTGATGGCCAAATGAAGCCTTATGGACCACTTTTTTATTTTCTGACCCGACCAGATGGTACGGAAGCATATTGCATTCACTTGACAAATAAAAAAAGCCGTTTTTCTGAGTAATTTTTTCTGTTTTTCTGAGTAATTTATTTATTGTTCTGTTTTTTGGTGTAATATTTTCTGTTTTCCGTGGTCATTTTTTTTCCTGAACGAGGAGAGGAGATACTTCAAAATCTCGTGAGAAGCTCCCACCTGGCACCTGCAAGTGACCAGTGCCTGTGTAAAGTTGACAAACTAATGCTAACACCATCTATATGACTTAAAGACAAGAGTATCTCCTAGTGTCTCAAACCCAAAACAAAGTAATACTGGATTAAACTAAACAAGCGGGTCATGTTTGCTTCCATTATATCGAGCTCTCAAGAAAGGAATGAAAGCCTCTGTTGTTTTATTGCTCTCTTAACTCAGAAAAAAATACTCAGAAAAAATTACCCCGAAAAACAAAATAAAACCCCACAAAAAACAGAAACAAAATTACCGCAAATAACAGAAAAAAAATTACCACGAAAAACAGAAACAATTACACTGAAAACTGAAAAAATTACTCAATAAAAGAGATTTTTTTTTTTTTAATTTGTCAAGTGAATGCAATACACTTCCGTAACATGGCGCTCCTAGTTTAAAGATAAAGGCTGAAGGACTTGCAATGAAGTGTGCTTTCAAACCTTTGTTGAACAGACAGCTCCATCTGGTGGCGTCAGAAAATAAAGACAGTGGTTCATGAGGCCTCATTTGGCCATCACTGCTTCCACATTGGCCTCATATCTCAAGCCTGGAGGTTGCCACTTTGTTCCACCACCCCCAAGTGGCCAAAAAATCTATCAGTTAAGCTTTAAAACATTTGAAAAACTATTAGAGCGAAGCACGCAAAGCAAAGACATTGGTGCGAATATTATCAAAAACAAAGTCAAGTGCTTCAATCTGTGCTCACCATGCACTGTTTCAGTTCATTTTGACATTTTGGTGCTTCCCCCTGGCATTTTGGCAAAAAAAAATAACAACAAGAACATCTGTAAAAAATAAAATAACTTTGATGTTCCAGTAAAAATGTACAGTAAAACCAAGGCAACACCTGGGTCCTGGATAATGCTCCACCATTCTTCCTTCCTTATGAAATAACTCAGCAAAACAATGACACTTAAGAATGCACCAGGCTGCAAGTTGTTCCAGGATCAGTATGCCCAGTGAAATCCCTTTCAATCTTTTTAACAGTCTCACTCAGAAGAGGGATTCACGTTATGCAGCAACTGGACTGCTGCTGAGTCTTTCTTGATTGGCACAAATCAGCTGTGTACGATGAACAATGATGAAGCTTTAAAGGCCTGAGTGGTTTCCCCTACAGAGGAACAACACCCGCTTCAAGCCTGCTGAAGCTCGTGTCCTCTACTTCCCATTCTTCACTGGTTTGATGTTACAGTTCGAGTGGGTGTTGGAGTCCGGATCTTTGTCCTTTAGCATGACGGCATCTGCGTCTTTGTCTTTGTCGCGACTGTTCTGGCTGTTCTGTCGGCTCTTCCTGGTGGCCGAGTCCAGCCCCGTGCCCTCGAACAAGCGGGCCATGAACGCCAGCCCTTCTCGTCGGATGTAGGACTTTCCTGCGAAGGTGTAGAGCACTGGGTTGGCACAGCTGCTGATGAAGGCTATGGAAGAGGTAACAGCTCGGCTCTTGTGCCATATTACATTCAGCCTAGAGGGTGAGGAGAGCATTTTGTTAGAGACCAGGACCGACTCAGAATTTTATGAGAATGTAGAGTCACAGACTGTGCATAGCTCCTTTGGTGAAAGAAGCACTCAGATACTTTACTTAAATAAGTATTTTATAGAAATACCTTGTCTCTGCAGGAGAGATTTGTAAATAGCAGAAAAACCTACAACCAGTGATGGCCAAATGAGGTCTCATGAACCACTGTCTTTATTTTCTGACACCACCAGATGGCGCCGTCTGTTCAACAAAGGTTTGAAAGCACACTTCATTGCAAGTCCTTCAGCCTTTATCTTTAAACCAAGAGCATCATCTGGTGGGGTCAGAAAATAAAGAAAGTGGTTCATGAGGCATCATTTGGCCATCACTACCTACAACTATCAGAATGTATTGCGCCACACCAGACCAATAAACACTCGTTTTCACATCGGAAACAAAATGGCAGCTGGCCGGTAACAAACAGCCTCAAATTACAGTTAAACGGTAAGAGAAAATATGTTTCTGAAAATATTTGAGAGAAGAACTAGACAACAGAGTAAAGAATTGTGGTTTATATTTGATAAGCACTGCTTAGTTTTATCATTCAATCTTAGCTTTTACAGTTTTACAATAGAAGAAACAGTATGCCGCCAACTTCCTGTTCACAAATTCATTACAGTTAAACAGTGAAGTAAAATTTCTGATGGCATTTTAGGTGAAGAATAGGCAATACAGTGACAGTATTTTGGTTAATGTTTGATCAGCTTTAGAACATACTTCACGTCGGTTGCACCAACCAAACTTTTACCAGTCTTGGACAGTAGCGTTACTACAAGTAGCGACGTTATGAATGGCGGTGACATAGCTACTTTCTAAATCAATTAGCTTTTAGCAAAGCTGATTAATTGGAAGCGTAGCATAGTAGCGTGGTTTTTCCCCGGAGGTCTGGATAAAAGTAAGGACAATAAAACTAAGGGTTATGTAATGTGACTGACGTCAGTGCTACACTGAGGCATGTAGAAGAGGGGAACACATGACATCACTCACTAATCCTTAAGTTTATTCTGCATGCTGCTTTGCTATTGGCTTTTCTTGGCAAGACCCGCCCTACTCTGCCTCTCATTGGCTACATTGCATTTCTTGACGCGTCTTTCATACGTCTTGCCCATAGACTGTGTATATTTAGTGGCTTTGCAGTGGGCACTGGAGAAATAGACACAACAAGGGCCAAGAACAGAGCCAGAGCAAAATAAATGAATAAAAGCTTTGCAAGTCACAAGCTACTTTTGCCATTTTCTCGTACCTTAGCTCGCTATATTCCTGTGTAGTGAAACTTCATTTTGATGTAAAGTAACTAGTAGCTTAGCTCACTACATTTTTCAAGTAGCTTGCCCAACACCGCCATATACCTAGTCTTAACTACGCCCGGTCTTAGCGATGTGAGTTCACGAGAATGCCCAGCAAGTATGGCTATTGCCAAGCAGCATGCGTAATTAGGATACATTATTAGCATTATCCCGCTGTCTTGCTATGTGTAGCTCATCATTTAGCATCTGCGACAGCGTTTTTATGGAGGGTCATGGAAAAAGAAGAGGAAATTTGATGGACATTGAGATGCAAAGATTAATAAAGCTGTACAGGAGGGACATATCTGTGTTTGACTGACAGCGGCTGGCAGGTGGAGCTTCACAGGTAAGGTAAAAAATGCCTTGTTAAAATGTTAAATAAGTGGGGCATCGGTGTCTTAGTGGATAGAGCAGGTGCCCCATGTACAAGGCTGTTGCTGCAGTGGCCCGGGTTTCGACTGCAGCCTGTGGCCCTTTGCTGCATGTCATTCCCTCTCTCTCTCTCCCCCCTTCACGCTTGTCTGTCCTATCCATTAAAGGCTAAAAATGCCCCCCCCAAAATATATATATATATATAAAAAAAAGTTAAATAAGTGACACGTTAAATTGCCTAATCGGACTCTAAATCAACTCCCAACTGTACACCATGTAAGGGATGATAACGATGATTGGTTTGTGTTTGAATTTTAATATTAGCTTTGCAAAGTAAGAACTGTCATATCACTTACACTTCTTTTGCCCGACCATCTGGACACAAAGCCCATGTAACCTGAGGACAATAAAAACAAAATTAATAGTTAGTGGTTAGCATCTTTTTACACTTTAAACCTGGGCGTATGAGGGGCCGTACACATGCTGCGTTTTTTGCGCCCGTAAATCCATTGTTTTAAAGTAGATGCGCAGCAGGTGAACTCAATAGTGCAAGGCCACCCAGAGCTCTAAATCTATCCCACGGACAATATTTTAGACTTAATACACACTATAAAACATCACCTGAAAGATCAACTCTGCACTCAGGATTTCTGGTAAAAAGGCTATGATACAGTGCTGGTTATAGTTGCTTAGTAACCTCAGACACAACCTGTCTCCGTGCTCTTGAAAGTTTGCAGAGTGGGCACGCTCCAGTGTTTTCCAGGCGTATAAAGACGCAGCATGTGTACAGGCCCTGATAAATACACTAACTCTGTATCCATAATTTTTGTAATAGGTTTTTACTTGTAAAGAGAGGATGAATGACATACTTGCACCACGTTGATGATATGGTAGGGCAACCAAAAGATGCAGAAGGTCAACACGATGGCCAGGATGAGCTTCTCACTACGAACGCGACGGTTGAACTTGGTCTTTCGGATTCGCCGTAAGATGCAGATGTAGCTGACTACAATGACCCCGTAGGGAATCACAAACCCCAACACCAGCTCCATCATGTACTGGATGACCACCTGTGAATGGAAGATGGGAAAATAGAATTTAATATTCTAGCATTCTGCAGCAAGTAGGGAAGTGTTTAAAAACCCAGAGATGCCTGCGGGATGGATTTCTTTTAATTTTGTGGAGTTCAAATCTCTGCCTTAAAAGACAAGCTAAATTGATTCAGGGAGTTTGATTCAGCTCTGTCGGCTGGTCAGTTGGTTGGTCAGTCCACAAGAGTTTTTGCCTTATGAGGCTGAAATCTGGCAAGGGGGTCAAGTGTGTTTGTGTGAAGGTGAGTGTTCATGCCAACTAGCTAAAAGGGGGCATGCCAATGGGGGGATGCATGCACGTACGAGGCGGTAGTTATGGCAAATTTGCTTCTGTTATCAGTTAAAAGAGTTTGAATGCTTTCTCTGTTGCAGGTAGAGTTATCCCTGATTCAGCCCTTCCGACAATTGGAGGACAAATTCGGTCTAAGACCTTGGTCAGTCCAAGTGTTCGACCTAGATTGGGCTCATTGCCCCGATTACTTTTAAACATGTTTGATGATTATGATTACATCAGTACAGAGCAGCTGATGGCGTTGCCAAGCAACAGTAAAAGTTCTAGCCCTAAAGGCTAACGTTACATACTACTGTTAACAGATATTAAAACTGACCCTGTTCAGAAGGTGTCGGTATCTCCATGTGTCCAGTCTTTATGCTAAACATGGCCAATCATCTCCTGTGTGCTTCATATTCAGCATACAGACATGAGTGTGGTATCAATCTTCTCTAACTCTCATCAAGAAGGCAGACAAGCACATTCGAGTTCCTTGAAATGTCTGGTACTTGGCACCAGTCAGGGCCTCCGTGCGCTTCATATGTTCTTGTTCATTCCAAGCATACAGAACCCTTCAGTCCAGACCTTGAAGCATAATGAGAACCTGCACATCGTTCTATTATTCAAAAATGCAGAGGATTGTTTTCTGCAACCTGGGAGGAAAGTGCTTTTTTTTCTTTCTTTTTTTTTGATAGTATGAATATAAACAGGTTTTTGCTTACTCACATGACTGTCAATTACGTGGAGCGGTTCACACACAGAAGCACGTTCCCGATGCGTCACTGTCCTGAAGATCATTGCAGGAATGGAGGCAATCATCACAAACACCCACACCACCGCCAGCAGCCGCAATACAATCTTACGGCTGGTGACGATACTGACGCGATGCGGCCACAACACCGCTACCAGCCTGTAGATGCTCATGAGCATGATGAGCTGGATGGAGGCGTACATGTTGGCCAGACACAGGTAGAAGAGCACCTTACACATCACCTCCCCAAACACCCAGTTCTTCAAAACCAGGTAGACGATGAAGAACGGCGTGAGAGCCATCAGAGAGCCGTCAGCAAAGGCTAGGTTGAGGATGAGGAGGGTGGTGACGGAATGTTTTCGGGCCTTTGCCAGGATGCTCCAGATGATGAAGAGGTTTCCAGGGAAGCCCAAGAGAAAGACAAGAGTCAGGATGAGGGCGCCCACAGTGGTGGAATTTTTGTCATGTACAATGCTCTCATCTGGTAAACTGGAGCTGTTTAGGATGTGAGAAGTGTTGCTATCGGCCATTTTGGTTACCTGCCGAAGAGAGAATATTTCACAAAGTGTAGCTCAATAGATTTACACAAAAAAGCAACAAAATTATACAGTTTTTCCTCTTTTTTAAAAAGCAAATGTACCTGCCGTGTCACTATTAGCAAAGCAGACCTCAAAATATGGAATCATATCTTACCTGGCACCAAGCTGCAACATTACAAAGTAACTTGACCAATAGCCTCACCTCTGAATCCTACCCTATATTTTATCTGGCACAGGCCTCAGTTTGACAATACAAGTATGTATCTCTGCAGGAAAGCGTGGGAGTGTGGCGCAACTGTAACAGGTTTTAACGGGGATTCTTAATTCCTGAACAACGAGACCAGACACGAATGGAGAGCAGCAGTCACTCAGCTGGTGTCAGCGTTTCAGCAATGATCCGTCTGAGTTTCATATTTTTTCTATTTCTCTTTAGGCCTGATGAGGCAAGTTTATATCTGGTACCATCCAAACACAAAAGCAATTAAAAGTGCTTTAAATAAAAATTATATTTAATATGTATAAATACAATCAAGAGAAATAAAATCTGTAAATTTAGGGGAAATGATATGAAATAAAATACAAAATATTAGACTAGAAATATGGTCAGAAGTGTGTAGGCACCCCTTTGAAAAATGAATCACATTTACTCACTCTACTTCAGTAAATTTCGGAAGTGCTTTTACGTCGTATTTCCATCGATTGTTAACGTTACTCTATTACATTTATTACAAAACATGATCACTTTAAAAAATATGATGCACTGGTATAAATTACTGGCTAACACTATATAAAATAGATCAAATTAGCTCCCCCCTTTTCATATGAAGAACCTCTAAATTGATACATATTAGGTCACAGACACTAATTCCGCTTCAGGAACCTCCATCTGCAAAGATTAATGTGGTTAGGCATGATTTGGACCACAATTTGGTTATCAGCTGCAGCTGAGGAGATAACTGTGGAGGAAGTGAAACCTATGATCAGAGTCATATGACGCTTACTCACATTGGGCTCACTTCTTCAGTGATTTGAATTGTGAAATCAAACAATTCCCCGTTATTCTGGGACTCCCCTGAAACTGAAAGGACCCCTAGTTGAGAGACCAACTACAATAGGAGCATCAAACTCATGTTAGTTCATGGGCCACATACAATAACCTATAAGTATCATTAGCTCCAATATTTTCCCTTTTTTTGTGTAAAGAATTACAAGTACATTCTGTAGATGTTCCTCCTTTTTCAAAACAGGTGAACAGCCTGAGATGTCAAAAGAAAAATAAGTGCAAATTCAACAGTATGTCTCAGTTTTTCCTCATTCAATCAGTCTACTTTTTACTGACATTACATGTGCATTTATCCATACATGTCCTGATACAGGTGTGATATAGATTCTTTGAATTGAAGCTGCCACTTGTCATGTCCAATATCTGTAAACATGGTCACAATAAGTATTTCAGAGAGCTGTATTCTGGTCAGGGCTGAAAAGCCACTGAAGCAGAATTTTACACGAAGTAGGCAACGCATTGTGGAACTTGCTCCTGAGACCCGGCACCTTTTTGTCGAGTTATCTAGCGCACCACATCGGACCCTTTGTCAGAATTTGTGACTCAGAGCTTTTATTAAGTGTCGTTTCCTCCTGTAGAGTGGGCAAATAACGAACACCTACTTCACATCGACAGCAAACTAGCTTGACGACATGGCCAAAAGCAAGTGTGATGCTGAATATATTTAACTGAGTGGACCTTGAACTAATTGCTAAGGCGAAATCTGGACCAGCTGGGAACCACTGATCTAAAGAAACCTGCCAGATTTAAATTTTTGAAGCGTATCAGACACAGAGTATATTCAAAGTGATTTAGGACGCATTCACACTGGTGCTATTTGGTCCACTTTAAACAAACCCTGGTCCACTTGAAACTGGGGGTCTCGGTTCATTTGCAAGTGATCCCTGGTGCGTTTCGCTTACAGTGGGAAATGCAAACTAACTATCCAGTGAACCAAAGAGAGGAAGTGACGTAGAGCGCAGTGCATTTTGGGTAGGAAAAAACCAAAGCCAACAGCGCGAACCGGGAGAAGCAGAAGTAAAACAAGAAAAAGTTGGAAAATGTCTCGTGGGCAGACGTGGAGTAGTGAGGAGATGCAGGCACTTATTGATAAATAGTCACAGGACTACATATTGTTGCTTGTGGCTACCCACAATGGATTTCCGTTTTCGGTCCTGGCCAATCAATGAGCCGGGTTTTCCTATTCCTCGTGCTTTTTGTCTTCCTGGTCAGTGATCGTTTCTGGCAATACTGCCCTCAAACGAGCAGCTGTTGTAACTGTGTGGCGCTGTCCAGGCCGTGTGGTCCGCTTTTTTTAGTGCATTGTTCATTTTTTACCTCGGTTATATGTCACAATGGCATCTCACATCCTGGAAAAAATAAAGTTGAAATAAATAAATAAATAAATAAATAAAATAAATGAAAGTAAATATTTGTGACACTTTCACAAAGGTTTATCTCTTTAATAGAGTCAAGTAGAATTAGGGATCAGTGCAACAGAATAACAGGACTGACACATTAGGTACGTGTACATGCACACTAATATTCCACTATTATTCTGAATAAGAAAATATTTCAAATTTGACACAGTAGGTCATACCAAAAAATTAGAAAACAACAACATTCGGCCACAGGGGGAGCCACAGCGATCGATCATTTTAGCCATTTTTAAGCATTTTTCTGTTGTTATAGCGCCACCCAGTTGCCAATTAGAGTTAAATTTCTCCAGTCACCTTGAGGCGTCCTGTTCTACATATCTACCAAGTTTAGTAAAAATCCATATGGCAGTTAGGCCTAGAAAAGAAATTAGCTCTCTAGCGCCCCCATTTTGTTTGATGGGGTCAATAATGGAGGGGTTCCCTCAGATTATGTGTGGTCATATACCTACAAAGTTGCGTGGTGATCGGTGAAACCCTTGAGATGTTATACACCTTTATGTGATGAGCCACATCCTCCGCAATATTCATTGCCTTATAGAAGCTCAGTTTTAGTAAGTTTTCCAACTTTTGCCAAGAGGGAACTTTAGATATTGGTCCCTAGATTATGTTCACCGAGTTTCATGCAGATCGGTCAAACTTCCTAGGAAGAGATCGATTTTAAGTGGTTTTCAAAAAATTCAAAATGGAGGAAAATCTATATAACCGGAAGTTATGGGTTCTTGAGGCAAATTTGTTCCTCATGAGGAGAGGCATCTCTGTGCAAAGTTTCATGTCTCTACTACATACGGGGCATGAGATATGCCCATTCAAAGTTTGCAATTTCAATCGGTTGCTATAGCGCCCCCCTTTGGCCAACTGATGTAATATTGCTTCATTCACATCCTCCCATGACCCTCTACCACTGTGCCAAATTCCACATGGAGTTTTCATCATTATATAGTAAGATGGAGCATTTTCTGATTAACACGTGGGATAGTTTGCACGGCTGGCATAGAGATGCATGCCCATTAGAAAAGCTCGCATTTCTGGTTGGAAGGAGAAGCACACTTACATCACTGACATAATGATAGACTTGGATATCAACAGCTTTCTGGATACATGCAAATCTTTTCAGGAAGGTGGGTGAAGGAATGAAAGACGGAGGTTGTGTTCACATGGTCGGTCAAGCCCGCCACCAATGGAAAACTTGAAAATCCGGGCACAAGCGACAGACGTTCAACTTTGCCACAGGGGCATATTAATCAGAGTACGCACAGCTGCATGTGAACAGGAATATTAGTGACCATGTAAACAGCTTGATAGGATTTTTTTTTTTTTTAACCATAAAACCTTAATATTCTGTGCATGCAAACATTGACACTGTTGGTTGTGGTCTTTTTATGGGATTTGTTTATACCAATAACAAAAATGTAAAGTACCAGCCATATTTTTTTGAGATTTAAAAACTAGCAGCACTTTACAACATACTGTATATAAACTATAAAATATATTCTCTCTCTATATATATGTTAAGCCAATAGAAAGCTTTAGGAAGAGGATTAATGTGCTTAGTTCAGATATCAGCAGTCACACTTCATACAACAGATACTGCTCATGTATTCCTATAGGCTCCTTCCAGGTAATATATGTACCATAGCTACTTCATGTCCCTGCTAAAAATGTTTCCAGGAGTGACATGTCATCACTTGTTCGACATATCTTGCCTATTAGTTCAAAAACACGCCCTTTAGGCTGACACTGAAACTATGCAGTGTGAGTGGTGCTGTGTATACAGTCAAATATTCACACCCACACCTGCTAACCAGACCTGTTTGATGCATCTTAGCAACCTGTGCAGTAATTACGGATTACCATGATGTAAAACAGTATGCAGTTGGCTGCAGTGAAAATGATGTGGAATGATTGTGTCCTGAGAACTAGATATTTGTTGAGACATTTTCTTTTAGTGCTGCTCCTGTAGCGTATATTTGCATCACATTTAAGGGGGTGTGACTTTAGGAACGGACTGTCCTTAGTTTAAATGGTGTTTTTTAAGAAAACAAAAAAGGTAAGTTAATTATTAATTCTTTTATGTTTTTGGTTCCTAGTCTGTTTAGTTTAGCATTTTTGTTTGGTTGGTTTGACACTGAATAAAAGATTATTCAATGTGTAAGATTTAAAGGGGAGTTACTGGCATCAAATGGTGAGGACTGCAGATTTCATCCAGCCAAAACTTATCCCGGTTAGGACTCTTTCTTTGTTCAGGAGGTTTTTACTGGGTGCCAAATATCTGCAGAAGTCTCTTCCTCTCCAAAACAAACAGACACGTGATTAAAACTAGTAAAAACGCTGAACAAAGCAGTTTCACATTACATATCTGTGTTTCTCCTATGCTGTTTGGCCACGAGTCCAGCACCTGCTCAAGTGTGCTCATCTTTTTTATCTGATCTGGATGTTCAGGAGGTTTTTACCATGAGCCGAATTATCCGCAAAGGTCTCCTCCTCTACAAAACAAATTGACCCGGTGATTTGAACTGGTAAAAACACTGAATAAAGCAGTTTCATGGTATAAATCAGAGTTTCTCTGATGCTGTTTGGCATGTCAGAGACATACTGCTAGCCCAGCACCTGCTAGTCTGTGCTTATCTTTTGTCTCTGATAACTTAAGATCCTGGTGTTCAGGAGGGTTTTACCTGGAGCCAAATTATCAGAACAGGTCTCTTCCTCTCCAAAAACAAACAGACCAGGTGATTAAAATGGGTACAAATGCTGAATAAAGCACTTTTTGCATTACAAATCAGCGTTTCTCCGATGACATTCGGCACATCGCAGATGGGCTGCTGCTAATGTGTGTTCATCTTTTTTTCAGGTCCAGATGTTCAGCAGGTTTTTTGCGGGAGCCAAATTATCTGCAGAGGTCTCTTAATCTCTAAAGCAAATTGACCTGGTGATTTAAACACAAAGTAAAGTAGTTTCATGTCATAAATTAGTGTTTCTCCTATGAAGTTTGGTATGTTGGAGATGATCCATATGATCCATAAAATCTATATGTTAAGGAAGGTTTTACCTGGAGCCAAATTATCAGCATAGCTCTCTCTCTCCAAAACAGACAGTGATTACAACTGGTACAGACGCTGATTAAAGCTGTTTCACGTTACAAATCAGTGTTTCTGATTGTGTTTTTTTGCGGATGGGCTGCTAGCCCAGCACCTGCTTATGCTCATCTTTTTTCCAGATGTTTCCAGATCCAGATGGTCAGGACGTTTAGGCAATGTCAAAAAAACATTGGCAAAAACAAATACTGAATAAAGCAGTTTTATCTTGTTGCAGATGGTCCGTTAACTATGGTGGCCGACGAGACAACGAGAAAACAAGTGCTAGTGCTAGGCCAGCTGCCTACCAGATACAAATGGCTCATTCTACGGTAACTAAAACACAGTGACTCTTATTTTCAGGTGATTATACGCTGAAGAAAACTGCTTATACTTATTATATTTCAATTCTGCCAATATACCCCCCTAAATCCTACACACTGGAGAACATTTAAAAACAGCATAAAGTTGCTTTAGAAAGACATCAAATAAAATGCAATTTGTTAATGAAATTTTAATGGGGTTTTTTTTTAGAATAAAAGCAGCAATTCATTAGTAAAGATGAATATTTTTCTTACAGATATATTACTTTTATGCTGATGATGTGATAAATAACCTTTCTTCTACCACTTGCTTTCAAAGAGGCTAACGTGACATTGTATGAAAACAAATTTCCCCAGGTTTCAGAAGAAGAGAGACAAAGAGCTGTAACCACATGGCAGTGTTTACAGAAAGCCGGTCAAACCACATTGACAGTGGCATGAGAGCAGCAGCAGCAGCTAGTAAAACTATGTTATATTGTGCAATAGCCTCGAAATGAGACACGGCACCAGCTATAACTGGTGTCATTGTCATTTTGAGTACTTTCTGTTTCCATAGATCCTTTTACTCTTTTGGTTTCTTACGATACAAACATTAAAAGATTGATTCATCCCCTATTTTTTTAAGCTTTTATGACCTTTTTTACAACCAGAGCTCCCTGTAGTGACCACATCACAGACTATAAAACCTGACTGACTCAAAAGGTGTGTTTGTGTGTATTGTGTGACTCACGCACATACCTACTAAAACACACCTGCCTACAAAGACAAAACATACATATAGAAATTGAACCGCAAACAACACAGATTGCCATGTTGCTCATATTTGAACAAATCACAGCTGCCAAATGAACCTGACATTAACATCACAAGACCATGTTCTTAAAACTCAAAAATACACAGTAATAAATAGCAGAAAAAAACTCTAACTCCTCCAAAAGACAAAAAAAGTTCAGAGTTTCTCCTCCAGCAGTAGCAGTAACTGCAGCTGATTGCAGTGATTTGTTGGCACTTGTAACTGCAGTGTTGTTGCTGACAGAAACCAACACAGACTCATGAATGGGAGACGGACAAATGAGACGCACTCACCTCAGTCATCAGCTGTTAGTCCCAACAGAAGACAGAGGACATTAAGAGCTGGAAGAGAAATCCGTTCTTAATGTTGTGTTTTCTTCTTTTTCTTCTTACCCTGTCCTCTCCCCACGTTTTCCCCCCACCCACTCTCTCGGTCTCTCTGTGACTGATTTGTCATGCTTGCTGTAACTTGTAGTGAGAAGGAAAGGTGTGTTCCCATTATCTGGCCTGCCTCTGCCCTGGCACTCTGTCAACATCCTCACATGTCGACCAAGGAATTCCATCTGTGTGTCTATGTAAAGCTTTGGTTTATTTTTCCGTAGCGTTATGGAAACCATGCAGATAACTGCTTTGTGCTTCCACAAACAAAATTCTACTCACCCCAATTGTGTCAAAGTGGTAGCTAATATTTTAGCAGGGGTTATCTCAAAACCATAACACATGAAAATCCAACTACCCTACATGGCCAAAATATGTGGACACCCGTTATCTCCACACCATGACTGTGTAAAGCACTGTATTGTCATAATCTCACCCACGGGCATGTAGACTCCAATTCTGAGGCCTCAAGTTTGACAGTTTGGGCATCACTATTTTGTTTTTTTTGGAGGCAAAGTGACCATATTTGGACGACAGGCTACAGCTGTGATGGAGCAAGAGGAGGATCTGACTCACTCACAGTGATCATGCTCTTAATTATTCTTAACTTAATAAAATGTAAACAGATGTTACATGAAAATCTTATTCTTCTTCTGTAAATATTCAGTCTGATAAATACAGAAAAGTTGATAGTGTAGGGCTACCCAGAGCTTTACATCTGTCCCACACACTTATAAACAGCGCCTGGAAGAAGATCAGCTCTGCAGGATGATGTAAGGTAAATAGGCTGTACGATGCTTGTTAAGGTTGCTTAGCAACCTCAGACGCAACCTGCCGCCACACTCTTAAAAGCTGGCACAAAAAAGGCACAAAAGTAGCACCCAGCGCCTGACCTCGCATTTTCCAGGTGGTTACAGCAGCAGCACGTGTACGGCCCCAAATTTCCAGGGCTGGTACCTGCGGTTATTCCACAGGCTAGTTAATAACATGTCGGGCAGGAAATCCAAAGTGTGGGATCATTTTGAGAAGGTGAAGGACGAACCCAAGGTGATATGTAAACTCATCTTCATTGGTCGACTACAAACATGACGTATCGTCTAAAATATGGAAGTAGCTACATGCCCATTAGTGGTGATGGCCAAATGAAGCCTCATGAACCAGTTTCTTTATTTTCTGACCCCACCAGATGGCGCTCTTGGTTTAAAGATAAAGGCTGAAGGACTTGCAATGAAGTGTGCTTTCAAACCTTTGTTGAACAGACAGTGCCATCTGGTGGCTTCAGAAAATAAAGACAGTGGTTCATGAGGCCTCATTTGGCCATCACTGCCCATTAGCCACTTAGCACAATCATTACTGCTTTGCCGACAGCGTCATTAACAGGTGGCTCGCTCAGTGTGTGACGTGTACTTGTAGATAAAATATGCATGATCATAGCATACGTATGTATCTTATCTGTAAAATTAAAGTAAATAAAAGCTTTGTTTCCACTGAGGGAAATGGTTTCAGCTTACAAAAACAGACAGGAGGTTTGCATCGCTGTGACATGTAGTTACATTTCTGGGGAGGTGCACGTCAGGCTACGGCGTGGGCTCTACGTCGATGCAGAGCTTTCACCGTAGGTACAGTAATCGTCAACGCAGAAGTATAAATCTCTGCATTAGCTAATGTCAGCTTAATAGCAGTGATGGCCAAATGAGGCCTCATGAACCACTGTCTTTATTTTCTGAAGCCACCAGATGGCGCTGTCTGTTCAACAAAGGTTTGAAAGCACACTTCATTGCAAGTCCTTCAGCCATCTGGTGGGGTCAGAAAATAAAGACAGTGGTTCATGAGGCTTCATTTGGCCATCACTGCTTAATATCTACTTAACTTTTTAAACACACTTGTTTCAACAAATACAAATTTTAAAACAAGATTCATTCATTAAGACTAGACTTGGGACTTGTCAGTCTTACCTTGGCTCAAAGGGAAAGGGAGAGGAAATAAATCAATGGAAAGAAGCCACAGCAATGAAGTGTATCTTCATGGCTATATTTCAATAGTTCTTATGATTTGGGTGAATTAACCCTTAAACATTTTAATATCAACACACAAATCTAAAGCTGTTTTTACAAGTTGTGGTGAAACTTTTTTTTCCCTAACGGATGCATATCAAATTTTAGATCATTGTTTTTACTTAAGTAGTGTTTGTTTTCCTATTTTAATGTTTAACGTTTCAGCAGCAGTGCATAAAAATCCAGCCATCTATACTGGGTAAGTTGCTGGTGTATTACAAGGCTAACACATAATGTATAAGGAGACAAATGTTTAGACTCACGTTCACACCTTCATGTGTTTGAACTGTGGGAGGGAAGCAGAAAACCCATGCAGATATTGGAAAGACTTCTAAACGCCACACTGCTATAAAAAACAAACCAGATAACACCTTCCATGTAAACAATTTATTGTACTTTTTTAAAGCATAATCCATAAAGATACTACATTTTACAATTATCAAGACATTTTACAGTGTAATCATGGTGCCACCCCAGGTCAACAGGTAACAGAATTGTATTACACTGCAAATATCTGAGCATTCGTGCTTCTGTGGGTTTGACTTATTTCCAGGTAATTTCAACATATTCCAAACCTCTGTAGAAAGTCAGCACTTGCAACAACTTGCAAGTTGCTGCTTCTTCCTGGATGAAAACCTCTCATAATAAGTCTTTACTGTAGACTATGTCCTGCTCAACTGCCTCGTCTCAAGAAACACATAGAATAGTGTGGCTTTATTGCAGCCGGGGTAAGGCAGGGTTCATTGCAGGTTTTACACTCTGTTACTTTCCCTCCTTGATAACATCTGGTCTGCCAAAACAAGGTGATACCTACAAAGCCCTGGAAGGGATACAACACAGTGTAACAGAGGTGTGTGTGCAGAGCATTTGCCATGTTTCTCCTCTGGAGCTATGTGGTACATGGCAACCCAATCGCCAGGATAAATGTTGGCATTGTATTCTGCAGCCAAGGATATGTTATGTTTCAATTTATGTTATGATCACGCTTTGGTTAGGAAAAGATCTTATTTTGTGGCTTTTTTTTTTTTTTGCTTTACTCCGATTGTGAGAAAAAATATGGGCAGAGAGAGAGGATTGCCCTAAAGCAAAGGGCCCGGACCGGACTAAAACCCCGGCCACTGCGGTAAGGACTCAGCCTTGATGGTACACACTGTACCCAGTGAGCATGCAGAGGCACCCAGAGGAAGGTTATGTTTGACTTAAAATAGCCAGTATTGTCACTATAACCGACGCTGGAAATGCGCTGACGTCACACTAGGTGGATTTATTGTTATGTGTTGGCTCTATGCAGAGTCTACGCCATTGTGAGCATTTATACTTGTGCAGTGGTGTGTCTGTGTTGCTCTGCAGGTACTTTTGCTGGACACATTTTCCCCACAAATACAACATGCTAACGTTATTAGCACAAGCCACTGGCATTTTCCAATGTGTAAATTAGCCTAGCGGTTGGCAGGGTTTTCCTCTACTCATATGAAGCCAGGATAAATCACACATGGGACTTAAAATGCCTTTTTTTGTGGAGGCTTTATTGTCTTTACAATTTGATGTTCCTTATCTGTGAAATGAAAGTAAATAAAAGCTTCATTTCTACAGAGGGAAATGGTTTCAGCTTACAAAAATAAACTGAAGGTCTGCGTCACCCCACCATGTAATTAAATTTCTAGGGAGGTGCAAATCAGGTGACGTCGTAGAGTATGTGTTTATGTAGAGCCTACGCCATAGGTACGATATTGATTTGATGCAAAGGTCTAAATCCCGCCTTAAGAATGCCCCGCTGCTGTCGCCACAAACACCGCTGGAAATGAGTCACTGAAAAAGACGGCTGGTCTCAGTCAGTGGTCTGCTGAAACTCGAAAGTCGAACAACTGCATTTTAGAAATGTTTATACGATACATATGAAGCGTACAAATATCTTGTACAGTATCCATTTTAACAGAATCAAACACTGCCAACATTTTCTTCTACTGACTGGGCTGCAAATTGATGCAGTAATCTTTACTATTTTTTGTTTTTCGGACTGTCAAAAACAACTTTTCCCAATGAAATTGTTGTTGCAGTTATACACATTTTTGCTACCATAACTTAGCCAACTGTGCAAACACTCCAATATCATACCATTCATATTCCAGCCCAAGCCCAGGATACAGAGGCTTGGTGAATGTGGCCTGGACTTTGTGGAGCAGGATCATTGGGTAGGGGACATGATAAAAGCACAGAGTGCCTGATTTATAGTCCAGATACACTCCAATCCTTTCGGAGCGAGGGCCTGACACCCTCGTTACTACGTTATTGTGACGGAACAAGTAACCATTTTCTGTGCACTCCAAACACCAGGACTTGTCATCGTTCCCAAAACGTGACTCGTCTGATGTGCGGTGGATGTTGTTGTATGCCACTGCTGCAGACAGAGTGCGAGCATGCCACTCCACCTCCCAGTAACATTGCTCTGTCAAACCCTCTCTGCACAGCACCTGTGGAAACTTAGTGAACCTGTCTGAGTGAGCAGAATACGTGGTGGGTGAAGGCCTCACCCTGCGGTTGTCTTCTATCAGGTGGAGATACGGGTAGTTTGAATTCCCATCCAGTGTGAGGGGACAGCAATCTGTCAGGAAAACAAAGTGTTGACACTGCGAAATGGTAATGACTATTTCATTAAAATGAAGGAGCTTAATAGAAATGCTTACAGTCTAAAAACTCATCCCTGGTTTTTGGTACTGGCGGCAGGGAGAAGTCAATGTAAGAGACTGTAAGAAAGAAATATTTTTAAACACAGCTGGACATGAATACAGCCATTGTATGGAGTCAGAACTCACATTACTTACCTGTGGCAGAGATCCTGGGCCATGTGTCCTTCATGACTCTCTCTAATTTATCTCTCAGCTCAGACACGCAGTCAGTCACATCTCTGAAGGAGCGCACAGGACCAGCACCTGGCGAAAAGTCTGGAGAGTCACAGGAAGTGGAGAGAGACGGGAAAGTCTGTGGAGAAACAAGACAGAGGCGAAGACAGCAAAACAATATATTAGGAAATATTGGCAAATTGAGTTAGAGTCAGAAAAGCCAGCATCTTGCACTTCATTAGGGGTAATTAATGATTTTTAATTAGAATACTTAATTCATGTCTTTGTCCAGGAGCAACACATTCTCACTCCCAACTCAAATATCGACGCTTGTTCGGTAGCCCTACATGTCAAACAACAACGCTCTAGGTACCCTCCAGCATCAGTTTTGGACACTTAGGGACGACACTTCAATTTACGCTCAGCACTTTGTCTTTTCAAAATTCCATTTTCTCCGTTAAATGCACACAATCTCTTTTCAAAATTAACTTAGAACGTAGGGTAAAAACTTAACTTTTGTGTATTCCCGGGTTGCCATGAGCTCAAGTTTGTTTTGTAGACTAGTTTCAGCTGTCACCAATCAACTGTTGTACTAAAAGAACTTTCCTATAATATCTTTGCTTATATCTAAGGTCAATTTTAGCATCTTTTTAAGCATTTATTGTAGTTCCACATTGTCTCCTGCTAATAAAAATAAAGGTCTTTTAAAATAAATTGTCCTGTTTGTATTCCATCTTTGTCTTATTCACTCTTCTGCTTTACTTGAAAATCTAACTGTGAGCTCTTACAAGTTTACTACATCTGATGCAATGCTTCCTTTGGCTAGGAGATGGGGCTGTTTTCAGTCTTCTCAACTTGGCCAACTTTGTCTTTTAGGCTTCAGTTAAAGACCTGGGTTGGTATTCACAAAGCTGTTTAGCACAAAGAGTCATTCCTAGTGACAAAATTCTGAGAAAATTCCTAGAATTATGATGTTTCCTAAAGCCCAGTTCAGACTAAAGATTAGATTAGATTAGACTAAAAGATGAGCAGAGTTGAAACAGGCAACTACTCGCAGTGTGCCATTCTGCAATGTTCTAAAAACCTGCCGCTTAACACCAATACAACTAGATGAGATGGTATATCACCTCTATGTAACAACTCTCCATACTCCTGTTCTGATTTCCAGCTTTTCAGGTTTATTTTGCAGCGGAATATAATTTGTAGCCTCTTAAGATTTGAATGAGGATAGTGATAGTGAGATACTGGTGATGTGCTTTACGTTCTAAAACCAGCCATTGGCGAATTAGCCAGCCAAGTTGAGTCCAGCTCACATGGCCAGCTCACACCGCTTAAACTTTTCTCTACAACGTTCTAAAAAGGTTTTGTCTCGTCGCGAATCTTTGGTCTGAACTGGGCTCAAGAATTTCCATTTAAAGTTGAGACTAGGTCATGGTAAGTCATTCTCAAAGCTTCTTATCTCTTACGAGCTTCTCAGATTAAATTCTAGCAGGAGCAGGGAGGAGACTTTTACGAGGCTAAAGAGTTTCTTCAGCACAGGAGAAAATGGTGTAAACACAAACAGGAAGTATTCTCCAAATGCTGTATGACAGTTAGTTAATGAAATGCTACAGATCAGATCATGCACAGATAATGTTTGTGGTCAATCTCAGTAGGGATACACACACATTTCCCTCTCAATGCAATAACACCATTACTGGTAAAATGCAACAGTGCAGGAGTGATGACCTGAGGCTTTCTCAACCTTCCATCAGCAGAGCGATCACACAAACAATGACAACACTTTCAGTCTCATATTGTAATCCAGTTCATTTCATTTCCACTGAGTGTCAACACCTTGCAGGCCCACAAAAGGGCAACCAATCACATCTATTAAAAAAATGCATCATACCTAGCAAAAGGGTCAACCACACCTCCTCACTGAGGTTAAAGTTTCTGTCCCTTCCTTGCTCAGAGATGCTCATCTACAAAACACCAATTCCAAAAAGTCAAAGATAACACGACAAAGAGTCCGATACCTGAATCATATGGACAAGATCGTCAGCGTGTGACAGCTGTTCAAGCTCGGCGTCTCTCCTCCTCAGCTTGCTGATCTCCTCCTCCAGCTGCAGCTGCTGCTTCTCAGCCTGAGCCACAGCAGTTTTCTCTTGGTCTCTGATCAGCTCCTTCACCTCTCTACATCTTCTCTGCATGGAGGAGATCAGCTCGGCGAAGATCTTGTCACAATCCTGCAGCGCAGTCTGGGCACAACTCTGTAAGCACACATCAGGTTAATTTCAAGTTTTTTACCTATGAACCTATGACAAGCTGGTCCTGACCTTTGACCCCTTGAAGGCTGAGATAGAAATTACTTCCCCTTGGCAATTTATCAGTGTTTTAAAATAGGGCATATGTCCAACATACTTGCTAGTAGTGATGGCCAAATGAAGCCTCATGAACCACTTTCTTTATTTTCTGACCCCACCAGATGGCGCTCTTGGTTTATAGATAAAGGCTGAAGGACTTGCAATGAAGTGTGCTTTCAAGCCTTTGTTGAACAGACAGTGCCATCTGGTGGCTTCAGAAAATAAAGACAGTGGTTCATGAGGCCTCATTTTGCCATCACTACATTGCTAGGAAGCTTACAAGCTGCAGCTAAAAAACAAATATACAAACCTGACATTGTTATGCCTGTTTATTGGCTTGTGACACTGAATGTAGTTATGATTTTTAAAAAGTATCCCGTTCAGATTATCCTCAGTGACAATTCACAGTCAGTCAAGATCTAGTGATTATCACAACTCATTTCACACCTTGACATTCTCCTCAGCTTGGCTCAGCTCCTTCAGCTCCTCCTCCCTCTGCCTGATTCTCTCCTGGACTTTATTTTGACTCAAAGCCAATCGTTTCTGGAAGGAGGAAAGCATTAAAATTAATGTTTCAATTTGACGTGTTAGGACGAGCTCAAAAGAGGAGTGTAACCATTAATGTTTTATGGCTACATGTCATTTGGGAGTGCTGGACTTTGAAAGGGAACAATGTGGACAGATAAGTGAATGAAGTGAGACTTCAGTCTACCTCTGTCTCAGCCTTCTGTACTGACACAGAAATTATTGTGTGGCCTTTATGCTCATCTATAACGCACAGAGTGCAAACAAGCTGCTTGTCTGTGCGACAGTAGACCTCCATCAACTTGTTGTGCTTTGTACACATCTTTTCCTGCAGTGGGATTGTAGCTGACACCAGCTGGTGCTTCTTCAACACAGGAACACTGTAGTGAGGCTTGAGGTGGGCTGGACAGTAAGATGCCAAGCACGTCAGGCAAGACATCGTGGCTTTGTTTTGGCTGGTCTCACAGCAGAAATCACAGATGACAATGTCTGCTGGTCCGGCACAGGCTGCAGCTGCAGGGAGAGAAGCCTGGGTGCTTGACTTCTTCAGCTTCTCCACCACCTAGGGATGATAGGAAAGTAGTGACAGCAGTTGCTAATAACAAAGATAACAATTGATATTTGAATTAAATAACACTATAGTTGGGTTTCCAGGCAAATTGGGGGCAAAATTGAACCAAAGTCAGAAAATTGGCAAAAGAAAATATAATTTTATGTGCTTTTCTATCCCCCTACTGTTATGGGAATACTGGGAGTTGGTTCATCAAGATAAGCAGTAGATGCTGTTAATTCTCCAGTCAGGTGCCACTGCAGATGAGGGCACAATGATATAATTAAACAAGTGCCAGGCAAACCTCAAATGAAGGAAAAGAATAGATGTTTAATAAGGGAGTTTAGAACAACTAGTCTTGCAATTATGTGCTCTTGGAGGAGTTCTGGTAACAGCCCTGTGTGCATACAGAGCATGAGCATGTTAAAAGCTATTTACAGATAACAAAGAGAGCCTGCAGTGGCTGGTGATGGCCAGATGAAGCTTTATGAACCACTTTCTTCATTTTCTGACCCCACCAGATGGCGCTCTTGTTCAAAGATAAAGGCTTGAAGGACTTGCAATGAAGTGTGCTTTCAAACCTTTTTTGAACAGACAGTGCCATCTGGTGGCTTCAGAAAATAAACACAGTGGTTCATGAGACCTCATTTGCCCATCACTGGCAGTGGCCTATGCAATGACGATATGTCATGACTGTACTACCAACGCATTCTCAATCCCAACTAATCAAACACTGACATTTGGTCTTGGCTCCACGCGTCAAACTTTGACACACTGTACCAATCCAGCATCAGTTTTGGACGTTTATGGACGGTGTGTCAATTTACACTTGTTATAAGCGTTATCTATATTTAGAACTAACTTCCGTTTTACAGATAATGTACACTGCTGTGTCTTGCAGGCCCTGGCGGAGCTAAGTAAGTGCAATTGGGAGCACTTGGCCAGTCTCCCAGGGGCAGCTTATTCAAGCCTGGCTATTCAACCACTTTGCTCTCTCCCTTCATCCGGCACTGCACTCTTGTTTAGTTGGCTTCGGCCTGGTTTCTAGTTGGAGTTCTGCATCTTACAACCCATTGCATACATCACCCATTCTGCTGACACACTGAAACACAGATTTACATGATTGAGCATAGCGTTATTTCAGGACACGATGTCAAGCTGAGCTCACATCCCAGCTACATCAGCTTATCTCAAGCAGCCCAGTCAACCGATGGAGCAGCTGACTGACTGATGGAAGGGAGTCAGCTTCATGCATTTTTTTTAGGGTAAATAAAACCCCACAATTTTGTCAACAACTCATGTTTCCTTGTTGCCTCACAGCTTGGTCCCTAACAATGAGGAAAAAACAGAAGTGAAAATGTCCAATAATGCCCTATTTGCAATGTTTTAAAAATGATTCCTCGATTTACACCAAAAATGAACATTTTACCTGATCAAAATTTGTCATTTTTTTAATTTCAGTTTTAAATTTGAGACAAGAAATATGCATTAGGATTCAATGTGAGGAGACATACTGTTGGGGGCAACACGAAAACAGGAAGAAGGGACAACTGCAGTGGTTTAAATATGTATATGTTTGAAGGAAAAAGTAGATAACAATTTACAATGCAGCTGATATACTATCTGTTAAGTACAGGTAAGAGCAGGTATAATTCACCCCTCACCTCAGCCAGCATGTTGTTCCTCCTCAGAACAGGCCTTGGACTGAAGGTCTCCCTGCACTGAGGGCAGCTGTACTGTCCCCTCTCCTCTTCCTGGTCCCAACAGCCCTCAATACATCGTCTGCAGTAACTGTGTCCACAGGAAATGGTGACTGGTTCTTTTGGCAGGTCCAGACATACAGAACAGCAGAACTGATCCTGGTCGAGCTCAACACCACGTTGCTCCTCTTGCTGATGTTGTTGCTTGCCAGCCATTTTACTGGCAGCCACTTCTATAAAAACACAGGAACGTTGCTGAGTTTCATTTCATCTGGAATAGTTGGAAAAGAAGGAGCTGGCTCCCTGCTTCTACCAGAGGCAGTGAGGCTAACAGCAATGTCCAATGTCCACCAGCTGTAATTGACATCACCTGCTGTGTGCTCAGAGAAACCATGTTAAAGGGGCAGACACCAATTTTCACACCAAGATGAGTTTCAGCAGTCCTGCTCAGCACTAATCAGCCTGTGTAAACCACTGTATAATGTCCTCTTTCAAAGTCTGAGAAAGAACCCTGATGATGTCACAGTGATGTCGTCAGGGTTATCTTGGATTAGGCTTTGGACTACAAATTTTTAACAGCCAGTCTGTGATACAGACTAGGGGACAATGCAGTTTTGATTTATATTTCAGTGTCATACTGGTTTTAACATTTCCACTGTATTGTTTTTGATTCCAGTGAATGCAGATTTATTATCTCTGCTGGACCTATCAGTCTGATATTTTGTGTGCACATTTATGACTGTATGTTTAAGGATCTCTTGTGGTTGCGGTGATTCACGGTGGTTGGAAAATTTGATTTGTTTTATTGAGTTCATCACACGTCACTGACTGCTGACTCCTCAGTTTTCTTAACCAGCCAGTAGGGGCCACAAGGTTTAGTGGAAAACGACTCATCTAAGAACAAGCCTTACCTTATCGTGCTTCAAGCCAACCCAGCTGGCACTGGACGTCAAAAAGACATGGGACTCTTACGTCAGTTTGGTTGAAATTAAAATTTGTTGACAATATTTTACATGTCTGACAACATTAGAATTTCATGTCATGTTAACATTGTCGAGTATCGCAGACGTTTGGTGTTGTTCATCATACCTTGCAACTAGTGATGGCCAAATGAGGCCTCATGAACCACTGTCGTTATTTTCTGAAGCCACTAGATGGCACACTTCATTGCAAGTCCTTCAGCCTTTATCTTTAAACCAAGAGCGCCATGTGGTGGGGTCAGAAAATAAAGACAGTGGTTCATGAGGCTTCATTTGGCCATCACTAAATCTTGCATCACAGGTAAGAGGAAAAGTATGTATAACTGTGAAAAAGAAGCTGGGGACAGCTGAATTAAATAACTGTGTAATTCAGGTATGGTATATATACACATCTGCAGTGGCAGAGAAAGTATTCAGATTCTTTGCTTAAATAAAATTATTATTGAGAACTGGACAAAATGGTTAGCATATGTCTCAAACGTTAGACCTGATTGTGTCTGAATAAGTGATCAGTAGCCTTCCACTGTCTCTATGTGTATGTCTTAATTCAACATCCTTGTTAGCACAATGTATTTATTTGTTATTTGTTCTCTTTATAGTATGATTTTTATTCATGTTAATACTCATAAAACTTTTGATATGAATTTATACTTTTTGTTTTGTTTTGTTTTGGTCAAGGTCTTTATGTTCAGCTGGTTGTGGATTTAGTTTACATGTGTTTATATTGTTTTTGTAAACCAATTAAAAGAGAATTACAAAAAAAAATCTCAAAAATCTAATAATGAAAAATTATTCAAAAATCAATAAAAATTACTTAAATATTTATCAAAATAGTTGCCAATTAATTTTCTGTTAAGCAACTAATTAATTAATTGACTCATTTTTTTCAGCTGTTTGTTTATGTACTGTTGGGTAGACTAATTTATCACAAGAAAAAATCAGATTTTATAAATCCTTCTTATGTTTTTTGGCAAAAAGTCTTAATTTGTAAAAGATAAATGTAGTGTAGTAAAAAGTACAATGTGTGAGTAAAAGTCAAAAGGGGCATGAAAAGAAAATAATCAAGTACTTGGGTAAATACACTTAGTTACATTTCACCACTGCACATCTGAATATCCTGTGTCACCAATTACCTAACAAACATCAGATGCAGCTTTAACAGAGAAACCCTTTTATTAGCACTGCCTGACGTGACCTCTGAAGTCCTTGTGGAAGAAGAAAAGGTTTTACATTATAATATCTCCTGTTACTGCATCCACTGTATGATAATCACAATATGAGGTTTCATTAATGCCAACATTGCTGATGCACTTGTTGCGCCTTGTCTTTACAGTATGTAACAGAACATGCCTCAGTGGCACCTGATTAAACAAAGCATTTGTCTTGCTTTAGGGAGCCCACTGGTCACAGCTTGCAGGACATACAGCCTGGTAATAAAACAAAACACACACATAAAAAAGCTGTGTAAGCAATAAATGCTTTTATTGTTGTCAACAGATTTATAACAAATAAATAATGGTATAAAATAATGGTATAATATAGAGAAATAGGTCAGGGGGTAAAAAGGAAATCATCCATCACCTTAAAGTTCTGGAAAGCCCACATTCAAACCACCACGGTTAGATAATTTAACATTGCCAGTTGCTTTAATCCTTATCATTTTCATTTATTTTAGACATTACAATATACATATACATATTATAATGATTTTTATATCATCTATAAATGACAACATTTATGAACAACATGTACATTTCCCGCCACACCTTTCAGAGTCTCAAGAAAGTCGTCACTCAAAGTGTCAAACCTACAAAGAGTTGTCTCCCAACCCTGCAGTTCCCCTCAGCTCTATGGAGCCTTTACGTTTGTTTGGGTTTTATGGTTCACACACTCTTATTAACTTAGCTTCTACCTTCCTGCTGGTGAACATAGTGGAGCATTTAGCAGCTAATAAGTAATTTGATTGTTTTTCTTTTTTAAATTTCTTAATTTATTATCATTATATCATTGTCGTTTATTTGCTGATATTGCCAACTTTTCTGTTTATGTTTTATGTATGTATTTATGTACTGTCTTTTTTCCACATTTTCTCCACGTATGTTAAATAATCCTCAAAAATGCAACAAAAAAAAAGAAATTAAAGAGATGTGTTTCTGTTACCTAAGAATGAGCTGTTTATATCTACATAAGGAGCGGGTCCTCGTCCATGGAGTCTGCCATGTTTCTACAGTAGCCCAAAATGGACAAAATTAAGACTGCATCCAGGCAGTGCCATTAGCATTCTCACGTAAGGCGCTGTAATAAGCAGGGTTCTAAATTAACACCCGCCAACCCACCAAATGCAGGTTAAAATTCATTTTGGTGGGTGTTAATAAAAACTTACTAGCCAGTTTGGCCGGTGATCCATGAGGCAATAGGTTCTGTTCTCTGTCATTTGTCCCCCTGGCAGTACTTCCTACATTTACCATGAACACTGTGCCGTAATGCTACGTGATGACGTTTCATGGGCCCATTGGCTGTGCGCATGCTGGTATTTCACGCTACAGTCTGCAGTGCAAGCAGCGCGAGAAATGAGCGGAGCGAGAGCAGGGAGTTAGCTAAAAGCAGTGGAGCTAAAGTTAAAGCTAAAGTAAAGTTAAACTAAATGCGGCGGTGGTTGGGACAGACTTCTGTGGGCGAGAAGAGGAAGAATGCAGGAGATGAGGATATCGGCGACAGAGTGTGCGAAACAAAAAAAAGAAAGTTTAACGCCAAATGGCTGACGGGTCGTGAATGGCTTGTGTTTGATCACGAAAGTAACGTCATGTTTTGTCAGGACTGCCGCATGTATGTGAAAGAAAAAACAAAAACAAACAATTTCGTGGTGGGAACTAATAATTTTAAAGTCGAGGCAGTAAAGGACCATGAGAGTGCCCAAAGTCATCAGGAGAGCCAAAGGATTAAAACCGCCAAGACAGGTCGTATCAAAGAGAGCCTTGCTGGGAGAAGCCTTGCTTTATTGAAGAAGTCTGATTTGGAGAAGATGCAGCTACTTTTTCGAAATGCCCACGCCATCGGAAAAAAGGGCAGGCCTTTCACCGACTTCGCATGGATGTGAGTAAGTGAATTAACGTTACTATTTATGTTTCAGAATCAGTGCATTTAATGCGATACAGAATGAAGTACATGCTTCCATAGATGCAGTTGGAACTTTACGTTTGTGGGATTCAAAAAGAAAAAAATCTCACCGAAATGTACTGTGTTGTAGGTGATAACAGTGGCTTCATTTACCCGAAAATTAATTTCAGTGTGGACAGGAAGAAGGGCTTGAAGATAGGAGAGACATACACAAATGACCACCAGGCAAAAGAGTTCATACACTACATAGCGGAGGATGAGAGTAGAAAGATGAGAGCAAGATTATCAGACGGCAAGTTCATCTTGGTCATGTCAGATGGATCCCTGGACAGTGCAGTGATGGAAGAAGAGATAGTCTACGTCAGGAGTGCCAGTGACGGGAAGGTCAAAGCTGATTTTGTCGGGGTAAAAGCTGTCTCAAAGCCAGATGCTACAAATATAGCTGAAGCTGTGTGCAGTATAATGGACAGTGAAGTCAGCACTGATTGGAAGAACAAGCTGGTGGCCCTCACCATAGATGGAGCATCTGTAATGACAGGAGTAAACAATGGTGTAGTTACAAAACTGCGTGCAGACAGACCATATGTGCTGGGGATCCACTGCATGGCCCATAAGCTCGAGCTCGCCTTTTCAGACGGAATAAGGAAAAATGTGATGGCCAGGAAAGTTGCATTTGAAAATGTATAATTTGTTTTGCAAGTGCATAATGCATATTGTCTGTCTGACCCTGCTACAGGAACCTTTGAGAAGACCTGGCCTACTGTGAACAGAATGCTGCGCCATCGGTGTCCTGACGTCCTTAATCTTTTTGATGCTCTCCTCACCATCCCTGCAACTACAGCTGACTGTGAAAGAGGGCTCAGTGTTATGAAGCAGGTAAAGAGTGACAGGCGCTCACGCCTGAAAGGTGAGACCCTCTCTGACCTCCTTAAAACCCAGTTGTGCTCACCTGACATCAAAGACTTCGATCCAAGCAAAGCCACTGACATCTGGCATGCTGACAGTTTGCGCTCACTCAGGCCTGAGTTTGTGCACAAACACCGAACAAAAGGAACTGAGGGTGGCTCAGATTCAGATGGGGGCTCTGAAGAAATTAGTTCAGAGAGCTCTGAAGACATTTGATCCAGAAATGAAATGTTTGCACTTTCTGTGTATATTTTGTTGTATGTATTGTATTTTCTGTGCGTTTTTCATGCCAACAATGTTAATA